CTTCGACATCAGAGGCTCTGAAGTCTCACGGTGCCTCTAAGAAAGGGCTTGCAAACACCTAACCCAGAGCGCCCAATACCCCATGAGGAATATGGCTTAAACTTTATATGATGATTTAAGCTCTATTCCTTAATGAAGGGGTACTGGGGTCTCTTAAACTCCAAAATCTCACCATTGCAGGTGCAGCGGCAACTCCGTGGCTTACCACCCGTTCAAGAGCATAGATAGTGCCTCGGTCCAGCATAGGAATTGCCGCAACCCTCGAGGTCCATCTCCCTCAATCCTAAGCCGCTTCAAAACATCATAGTTCAGTTTCACCCGTGTTTCATCCCGGCATGCCCGAACCTCGAATGCCCTACAATTCATCAGTCCTTACATATCCCTAGGCCCTAGCAGTCTATTCTTTTCATCCTCAACAGCCGCCACTCCAAAGCTCTCGCCGATTTTTGGAAGACCACAGCAACTCCTGCCTCCCATTTGGTGTTTGGGGATTTGTGCTTCGCTGAGACGACGACGACGGCTATGGCTGCTACTACTACGACTACTGCTACGACTGCTACTACGACGACTACTACTACTACTGCTGCTGCTGCTGCTACTACTACTACTACTACTACTACTACTACTACCACGACTACGAGTACTACCACGACGACGACGACTACTACTACTACCACCACGACGACGACGCCAAGGACGACTACTACTACTAACAACACCATATGCAGGTATTGCTTCGCCAAAATGATGTCTAGCTACATCTATGCAGACAGTAAGGTGCCCTTGTCGAATTTGTGTATTTGGCTTAGGGTTTGGGCTTCGGTCTGTTGTGAGTGTTTTGTACTTTGTTGGGTATGTGTGTTTCCCGAGCGATTCAAGAGTGTGTGCTCCACGAAGTTGTGCAAGGCGGATCTTGCTACCGACCCTGGTTGACGTGTACTGCAGGAGCCTAGTATGAAGCCTAGGAGTATGAAATGTATACTATAAAGATTATCTGAGTGCATGCAGGCTTCGTAGAAATGCTGGGATTGGAAGTGCTCCGGGATGTTGTGTATAAGGCGCCTTTCCGCCCTTTGTCCGAGTTTACAGCTGTTTCCAGTTCGACAGTTTCTTTGATTCGGCCAAGCGCATTGCCGTAAAGTCGCTGAGCTTGGCCCACTGTAACACGGCCCAAGCTTACCCTACCCGCTGCAAGGCCCCTTTCTGAATCCCAAAGGGCAGTGCAATGTCGTCAATGCAAATTGTCGAGGCTTTGGGCTTTCAATTGCAGGGCTTCCTATATGTTACTCTTTGGGCAAGAGTCTTTACAATATGATGGGACGTGGACCCTTGGGGGATATCCCGGGCCGGTGAGGCTACCAGAACTGCCTTGCCAACGCAATGGCTTCAGGCTCGTCGAAAGCGTCTTCAGGTGTCCGAGTTTCTCAGATTTCAGCTAGCAGTTTCAGGAGGGTTTGGGATTTAGAGCCCTGCGGTTGCGGCCTGCTCGTCGTTTCTCAGATGTAGTGTTTGGTGCTGCTGTACCCTAAGGCTCTAAGGACTTGGGCCTAAAGACCATATTACATACGGCCTTTTGGCCATTTTGCGCCTTAGGGTTAGGCTGCAGGCTTTTGCTTGTCGTTTCTCCTGCTTAAAGGAACATGGGACTTAGTAAGTATGGTTATAAGCGTCTCAATTGGGGCTATAAGCAATTATGAGTGCAGTTACCCCAGTAATAACCCCAGTTACTAAGTCCCATGATCCTCCAAGTGCTTTCTGATCTTAGGACGACCTCCCCGGACCTGGGTTCACTCTTCAATGCATCTCCTGTATGTGTATGCTGTGTACCTGGGCCTTCTAGCCGTGAACCCTGAACCCTCTACCATCTAATATAGGTGCCTGAATAGTTACCTATACTGTTTTGGGGGGTCTTTGTCATATTAGTAGAATGGGCCCCAAAACCTTATTCTAGTTATCAAGGCCCCTATTGTACAGGCTCGCTGAATGTCCCTACACCCTGCGAAAGTTCATTGCACTTCGAAAAGCCCGAAACAGCAATGGGCCAAATCCCACAAACGCCCCTAAACCCTAAATTCCCTACAAGAACCCCCCCAGGTCCCCTGCAGGAATCCTTGAACGGAACCCTCTACCCTAAACCCTAAACCCTAAGCCCTAAACCCTAAACCCTAAACCCTAAACCCTAAACCCTAAACCCTAAACCCTAAACCCTAAACCCTAAGCCCTAAACCTGCTTGAGTTAGTCTGGAACATTCCTTCAGAGCCTCAAAGCTCAAACTGGAGCCTTACCCTACTCGGAGGATCCTTAAAAGGGCTCCTTAAAGGGATCTGTAGGGTTCCTTAAAGGGATCTATAGGGTCTAGGGTTTAGGGCCTTCTTGGAGGATCGTGGGACTTAGTAACTGGGGAAATTACTAGGTTAACTACGCTTATAGTTACTTATAACCCCAATTTAAGGTACTGATTACCATACTTACTAAGTCCCATGATCCTTTAAGTAAGGGTCCATGTACTCAAATAGTATCTGGGCAGTTCTCTGAATGGGTCCTTTCTACAAGGGTTTCTGTACTTTTCTGGGGACCTGAAAGAAGACCCTAGTTCAGAGAACTACCCGTATATATTTTGGCCTTTCTTGAGTCCATACAGAGGCACTTTGGGCCCAAAGTTTATACTAGTGCTGATGGACAAAATCCTGACTACCACCCATTATAAGGAGTATACCATAGTTCCCATAGTTTAGAGTCCTTAGGGTCATGCAGGATTTTGTCCATCAGCAGTATTTGGGTACATGGACCCTAGGCTGAAAGCCACCTTACCATTCGGACCAGGGTTTCACGTTCAGAGTTTTACCTATAGTCTCCATTGTAGTTCTTTTTTGGGTTAACCAAAATCTCTATTACAGGATCCTAACCATAAAACTGGTTAACCAAAAAAGGAACTACAATGGAGACTATAAGTAGGGGTTCAGGGTTTCGCATGCTTATTTTCGTTGTATACGGGATTCGAAGAAGCAATGAGGGCGTCAAGGTTGATGGTTTACCTGGTCAGTGTCTAGTGCTTCGATAGTCAATGAAAGTCGTCACAAGAGGTGATCTACTGCAGTGACATGCTCCTCGATTTCGCTTCGAGGGCAGAGCAGCGAACGTATGCGCAAAGCTCCTGCCCATGTGCAGGGCTGTGGGTGCCGAGAAAAACCCTAGATCCTAAACCCTGAGGCTAAGTAAGTTGCCTTCTCCATTGGAGCTCTCCGACTGTTCTGCAGCTGGAAAAAGGCCCTCAAAAAGAAACTGAGTGTAAAGTTGGAGTTCAAGACGAAGGGATGCAGTTGTGTTGGGTTTGGGTTCTCTTCGGCTCCGGGAGATGAGACAGTTTCAGCACACCACTAGACATGGGTAACAGTGGCTAACATAAACCATATCCAAACCGCTTTAGAGTAACGGCCCAACACCTATAGAAGGCCATTATTCTACATAACTTTGTGGTTCAGGTAAACCCTTATAAATGTGAAAGTTTCAGTCGTACTGTTTGCCAGCCCTGCCCTCGGAGCCAGACGAATTTCCATCACTGACAAAGTGTCTCCTGCCAATTCAGCTCCGAAGGAAGTTCCATGAGTCTTGCTGTTTTGACACTTCCACTGCTGCCTCCGCTGTCGTACGCATGTTTGAGGCAGGTACACAATCCATTTTGTATGTACAGCATTATGATGCATTATGTATGTGGATATAGCGTACTGATACCTGCGCAGAGACATGGAATGTCCGATAGCTTCTCATTCTCCGTGCCAAAGATGTACTGCTGCGTTGCAGCAATGCGTGAAGTTTGCTAGCTAAACGGGGTCCTTGAAGGACATCTGCGGAATGCAAGGAGCGACAAGCCCCACCAAAAAGCACAAGCTACGTTTGTTTGCCTTGTGCCTGTCAGCACTATGTGCATTGTTCCCTAGTTATCCCTGTCTTGGCAGTCTAACGTTCATTCGAATCTCCGTCGAGGGGTTAAACGACCTGCAATCTGGTTTCGTTCCTGCGTGACCCCCAATGTTTTAGGCTTATGAAACAAGCACTCTCTGCCGATCTCTATCTCGCTCTCTCTCTCTCTCTCTCTCTCTCTCTCTCTCTCTTGCTCTGTCCCTCTCTCTCTCTCTCTCTCCCTTAGCCTCTGAATCTCTGTATGTATGTATACATGTATACAGACGCCACACATCATCTATGTACAGAGGTCGTTTCCTTACAGAGAGTGCCGCACAAACGGCAGATAAGCCTCCAAACCAGGGTTGCTGGTTCAGCTTCTTATGTGAGACTATATCCCAGTCATGAAAGCCTCCGTCCGAAGCATGTTGTTGCAATCTTGGCCTAACATGGTAGAGGTGATATTTAGGGTATAGGCTTTAGGTTTTAGGGTTTAGGGTCTAGGGTGATAGTGCAAAAGTATCCTAAGCAGCTTGAGCCTCGTGATCTCGCTGCTTGCCATCTGCACCCGACTCGTCCTGCGCAGAAGGAGAAAACCGATGGAAGGGAGATCTGTCGTGCCCAGCCACCCCTTCTGGGGATTCTGGGGTCTTGGGTTTCGAGACGAGGGTGCGCCGGGGTCTAGGGTTGAGGGGTTAGGCTCTAGGGTCTAGGGCTTACTTATAGGCTTGAGGCGGAACTCTGTCAGTTGTGCAAATGTACGTAGGTATGCATGTAGGTAGGTATTGTCCATGCGCCTTTGCCAGCATATGTGCACACGGGGCCACGTTTATGCCTTTAGTATATGCACATGCAAGCTCTCTCACGAACTTGCAAACATGACACAACACAGCGCCAATAGCACGTTTGCAACTGTTGTGCTACGAACAAGCGCTGCGATATCTGGAGCTGCTCTTCCGAGTTGCTGCAGCGATTGCATAAACACGGAAGGGGATTAGGGGTCCGATCAGGGTCTCTCAGGATTGCTTGGCGATTGTAAACGCTTCCTTTGGATTTAGGGTTGAGAACTGATGACATGGGCGAGTTTCACCTTGCCCAGGCCTCAATGGCGAGTCGGGGAGATTGGCATTCTGGTCCAAGCCGCTGGCTAATTACAACTTCATCATGCGTCAAAATTGTGGGGTATACAGAGACCAAGCTTTAACCGAAAACGATAATTGCAGTTTGGGTGGCCTCGGTTGCGTTCACTGTTCTGTTCACCGGGGCCGTTTGGAACTTCAATCCCTGTGGGGCGGCAGTCTATAGGGCGGACCCGTATACTTGCGGTGTTGAGCAAAACCTATGATGTTTGGTTTGCGGTGTTGAGCAAAACCTATGATGTTTGCTGCGAGTTTCGATAAATGGCTTCCTGGTGGCTGTGTCTATCGCAGCTTTTTATTGTCACGGTTGTGGCACACGGCGACGTACGGTAGTTTCGAACGGAGGCTCCTGACGGTGCGGCACCACGCATGCAAGTTTCACAAGTCACCCCAATAGGAGCGGTCGGTTGCAGGCTGCCCCAAGCCCTTTGTACAGAAGCCTTCAACGATATTATACTTCAACATACCCCAAAAGCCCAATAGCTTATTCTAATCAGCAAGGTCCGTACACCAAACCAGCAAGGGATTGAGAAGTCCCATGCCAGCACTCGGAAGCTTCAATGCACTGTACAGACACACTACAAGCCCTGCAAACTCAGACCCTGAACCTTACACCAAATGCTCTAAACCTAAACGGCATGATTTCGTTTAAGATGTCTGTATAAGATGTACACAATTATATGTATATGTATATAGGTGTATCTATGTATGTCTAAAGCAAAAGAAAAAGCACACAACATTTCACAGATGTGGTATGTGTACCCAATACGTAGAGACTCTTGCCCACCCTTTTTTTGAACACCTAGTTTTGTGGTGAGGATCTGTTGTGTAGATAATTAGATAACATTTAAATGGGGTAGGGTATGAGCCTTAATTAAAGAGTTTACTTTGAATCATAATGGGATTCCTAATATGTTTTAAGGCATATGCCTCAATTGAGGGATTTTGGAGGGTCTGGGTGTGTACCCAATATGAGTGGTCGTCGAAATTATGGTCCCTTTTTGGGTACCCTAAATATTAGGCGCCGTATTATAATAAGGACCCAAAAAGGGACCCTAATATTGACAACCACCCGTTTGGGAAGATACAGCTTATAGAAACCCTATAGATCCCTTTATAGGGACCCTTAAAGGAACCCTTATAACTACCACAAACCTCCGAGTAGAATACAGCGTTCTCGTGACCCTCGGCGGGAGTTTCGATGAGGTTCGGCGGCCTCCCAGACCTCTCAGCCAGCCTCTGAGGGGCTTAGGGCTCCTTTTAAAAGGGGTCCTTAATAAGGGGGTCCTCAAAGGGTTTAGGGTCTGGGGTTTAGGGTTCAGAGTTTAGGGTTTAGATTTTGGGGTTTAGGGCGTAGATATTTAGGTTTAAGGCTTTGGGTTTAGTATGAGGGTTCAGGGTTTTGGGTTGTGGAGGTCAGAGTTTTGGGTGTAGGGTCCGTGTGGTCATATAGGGGCCTTAATGATTGGAGTAGGGCTTCGGGCTTCTACTATCATTGTCATACGTCAGGAGTCCGCGTGTGTGTGTGTGTGTGTGTGTGTGTGTTTGTGTGTGTGTGTGTGTGTCAATGCTACTTTCAGGGTTCAACGCGCATTCCAACTTCTGGGTGAGCGGCCATTCCTCCATTTAGCTTGTGTTTACCGCTGTGATGCCATGTGACGCCCGCGTAGAGTTCTTGTGCTTCCGCACCTACTGCTAGGGGTGAATTGTGATATTGGGTGAACATCGCTTTCTACCCCTAAGGGTCCATGTACTCATATAGTATATACATTGGCCTTGACGTACCCCCCTATATAGGTACATTGGGCCCAAAGTATATGCGATATGGGTACATGGACCCTTAGGGTACTTGCAGTAATACGCGAGGAGAGATGCCTGAAAGCCGCATCTGACAAGCGCAATGTAGGAACCTTTTATTAGGGTTCTTAATATGGGTGGTTGTCAAAACTATGGTACCCTTTTGGGTACTCTAAATGTTAGGTGCCGTACTTTTCTAAGGACCCAAAAAGGGACCATAATTTTGATGACGACCACCCATATGAATCATACTATGTTTTGATTGTAGGCCCATGGTTTCTTAATCAGGGTCCTACATGAATATAGTGTCCTTATTACAGATGACCCTCATAGGCCCCTTTAAAGGAACCCCAAATTTTGGATCTTTGGAAAAGATAAGCAAAGTAGAAAACTGACTAGGTGACTAAACCTATAAGTAGTTAACTAAGTTAGCAAAGAAGATATATGTATATATATATATGTATGTATGTATATATATATATATAGAGATATATAGGTATAGAGGTAGATGTTTTTGCTGAGGTAGATATTTATATCGGTATAGATATAAAGACATCGACACACTGACATGTGTGTATACATATATACTACCTAGTAGATACGTGTGTCCCAACAGTGCACTATTGCATGGACCTGCTCGGCATGCAAGCCCGCAGTCTTGGAGTGCAAGGACGGTCGCTTGCAGCGCGGTGGGGATGGCGTCTGGAGATACTACAGCGTCAGCTCCAGGGTGGCACAGCTAGTCAGCTCTTGGGGGTTGCTAGGGATAGTGGACAGGTGTCGGGAACACTTCGTAATACAAACCCCAAAGACTCAATGAACTGTTAGTTAAGGCATAAAACCCAGGCAGTGATTACTGGGGCATCCTTGCTTGATGCACCATTTATGGGCTTTGAGTACCTTCTAATCAGATAGTGCTGCCTATGTCGCAAGAACGAAGCAAAATGGCAGAGGAATGACGGGCAGGCCCTAACCCCTAAACGCTTTAGGCAGAAGGGATGTTCTGCATCGCAAGTTTGGTAGCCACAGCCTGGCAAAGACCACTTCAATGCGCATCGCAAGCAGTGTCTGAAGTCGTGCAACCCTACTTTGACTACTACCATTTGTTATTACTACTGTTACTATTGTTGTTGAGCTTGTTGTTATAAGTCGCAGAATTAGCATTCTATTGCTATGATACCATCAACCCCCATGCCACAGCAGCCGGAAGGTCGTACGTAAAGCCATACGCCCTACTTCACAAGCTTCTATTGGCTATAGAGTTTCCAGAAATACTACCGTTATGCCCATCCTTCTTATAACTTTGATACTTCATACTGGTAGCATATACATGGACCCTCTTCGTTGAACATCAGTGGGTTTTTAAAGTGTTCAGAGAAGTTCCACGGTTGGTAATTTGGTTGAGCAAAACTACAGAACACTGAGTTTTATGTCATCTTTACTTCGGGAGCACACAGCCTAGACCCTAAACCCTATCAGCGCAACAAGCTGTAGGGCCTTGGGCTGCGCTGGAACTCTTGCCCCAAAGATACCCCCAACCCTTTGACTCCGCTTCTGTCTGGCATCTCTTCTTCTGCTACACTTAATACTCCTACGAAAGCTGATTCTAGTACAGTGCTAAGAATCCCTGCGCCATCAGTTTGCACGGGTACTACTTGCGGGCAAGGGTCTCCGGCAGCTGTTTGTGAGAGCATTTTGGGGTTCGGCCTGGCGAGTATGGGGCCGTTGCCTCTAGTTACCTTAGTAGGTGTGGGAGAAACCTCGTAATCATCTGCAAGTCACCTCAGAGCTGCCGCAGGCGAACACATCCATCGGCGAGGGCACCTTAAAGACTGCGGAGAGTGATATCCCGCAGGCGCGAGCAGCAGTTCCTGAAGTAAGGATTTCGGAAACGATCGGCATACTATCGGATAAGGAAGTTGCTGATATTTGCGCTCGATGTGCTCATGTTGCTTATAGTTATGACATTCTGAGATTCCCTTCGAAGTGCAAGCTGTTCCGAAATATGTTGCGGGAGTGATCCTCTGTGATCGTCTCCAGCTTCAGGCTTCCCGAACATGAGCCGACATGCTGTCATGGGAGGCCACAAGGGGTTGTAGCCTATGAGAGTTTAGTAGGGATTAGGTTCCAATACTAGGGTTCGTATTAAGGCTACCCCAAGAATCTTAAACCCCCCTTTTGGCCTCCCATCATGCTGAAACACAGACCCATCTGGCTTCAGGATGACTATGTGCTCACGCCGACGGGTGGGTATCAAGCGTCAACCTCAGGGGCTCAGAGGAGCAGTACGAGTGGTAGTGGCAGTAGTTAAGTAAGCCAGTAAGTAAGTAAGTCAGTAAGTCAGTAAGTAACCCTAAGGCTCTAAGGACTCATAGATTAAGGATTTTGGGCCCAAAGACCACACCATGTAAGGCTTTTGGGCCATTTGGAGCCTTAGGGTAAGTAAGCAAGTAAGTAGAGGCAAGTGGGTACCAGGCACCACAGTGTCAACCTGCCGAAGCGTCCTCGCTTACACCCGGTGCTTCAGGGCCGAAAGCACTCTCGCCTTAAACACGAAAGTAGGAACCGGGATTTCTCCATAATTTGCCTGCAAAAGCCCAAAGTCTAAACCCTACAAAGTTTTGCGCCTGAGCCCCAATCTCTAGCCCTAAGGTTAAGGGTTGAGGGTTTGGAGTTTAGAGTTTATAGGATACTAAGAGCCTAGAGGAGGAAGCATATGTGGTGAGGTGGGAATCCCTTCACTTCGTGTTGTCTACTGGGTTCCCGTCCCTCAGCCGGTGCGGTCGTCTGGATGCCTTTGGTTAAAAGACACGAGGGTTCAAAAACAAGAAAAACATCCGCTGAAACTTAGATGCAACCGCGGATCTCCACTACCACACCCTAAACCTAAGGCCGTTGAATCATCGACCCACATCGATTAACCCGTAATTCAGACGAGACCATTCGCCCGAGAGGCTTTTGGGTTCATTCCCCGACGCTTATAACACTTCTCCGAACACGGTTCTGGTAAATCCTCTATATGGGGGTTCGGGTGAATCTTGGGCTTTTTGTTTCAGAGCTTCGGGGCGGGATCTCAGATTTGAGCCTCGCGTTTGCTACACTGGCGCCCTGGTGCTGCCCAAATCTCACACCCCAAACCCTGGACCCTGGACCCTACGGGTCATGCACTCTAGCGCCCTGCTCTCTGAACATCCCCAAACCTTAAACACTACCCCAGAAACCCTAAACCTTGAACCCTACACCCTTAACCGTGAACCTTTAACCCTAAACCCTAAACCCCTAAACCCTACCTGTAGTCGCAAAGACCTACCTTTTTAAGGAACTATATATAGAAACCATAATAAGGAACCCTAAAAAGGTAGGTTATTCAGGGTTAAGGTAAGCCTTAAACCCTAAGCCTTTAACCCTAAACCCTAAACCCTAAGCCATAAACCCGAGGTGGAGTATCAATGCTGTCCTCAGACGAGCCAGAGTCCGACCATTCTCGGTGGCCAGGAGGACGGCAGCCGAGGGTTTAGGGTATAGGGTTTAGGGTACTTGTACATATGTTGGGCACCAGAAAGTTGGATTTCTGATTTCGGATGTTTTAGCGCTGTGATTGTTTATACTTTTCTTCCTTAAGGGCATGAGGATAGTGATGTTCCAATTTTGCGGCTTCTATTGTAGTACGTTATGCCAGGTTATGGTGTTGAATATCTGCTCAAAGACAATGGGTCCTGAGTTTTCGGATTTGTGAAGAAACGGACCTAGTGCCCAGGCACCGTAATGTGGAAAAGCATAGCAAAGGTAAGGAACCAAAGCTTGTAGCTTGGGCTTTGGTGTACAGGTATAGGTCGATGGCCGGTGCTTGTGCCAACTGCTTTAGTTCCAGTGCGTTGAGCTTCATATAGCTTCATGGTAACTTTCTGTTGCCCGACTGGATCAAGGATTTTTGCAAGAAGATGGACTTGGGGCGTGCCTCAACCCTCTAGAGGCTAGGGGTGATTTCTGGGTATTTGCATAAGTTTATGAGTCCTACCAGACATGTACGTTCTATGTATGACTAGCAGCCTAATGCGTTTGTTCTGTTCGGCCACCGCATCGTTGCTGTGCTTCCGAACGCATGGACACATGTTGTGATGTTAACGGGTTCTCATTGGAGGTTCATGGGTAGATACAAGTGGTACATATACAACTCCAGTCCTGTCTACAAATGAACCTCCAAGCAATGCCCGATTGCATGTGACGAGACCCGTCTCGACGCTGAAACACACCAGCCGGAACCCTGAAAGGCCTCCCCCAGCCCGAAGCATGGATCTTGATTTACGTTTCAGCACCCCTCTCTACCATATCCTAAATATTCACCATTAAGGACCTTAATGCCTCTATTAAAGGGTAGTCGTGGGGGTGCTGGTGAGCCCCAAAGCTCAAGAGCCTTTGTAAGCGTGAACAATGCCCGCATAAATCACTTGGACTCTCGGCCCTGAAATCATGCCCTACCCCTTTTTTAGGGCGCCTACGTAGGCCCTATGTAGGTACTTTGGGGCCAAAGTCCAAAGTATCTTGGACCCTTAGGCTTAGAAGCCTCCAGGACACGCGAACTCCTGCGGTGCAGGCTCGGATGCATCTTCGCCGCTCCAATTCCATTTTACACGTTCCCAAATCTAAGCGTGTGTTTGCAGGGACACCTAAATGCATGGTACGGGTTTTATCAGGATACCACGAAAGCAGCTTCGTACATATGCCCTGCGCATGCATACATGAATGTATACATCCGTGCATGCATACATACATGTACCCTGAAGATCTTCTTCGCAGTCTGTGCCCACTACTGCTACGACGACTTCAATCAACTCCCGGTTTAGAGGCCTCCTGTTGGCATCGATGCTCAGTGAGACGTTGGTTTCTGCACGCACCTCCCCCCCCCCCTCCCTCTCCCCATTGCCCGCCCCTTCCCCCCCACCCCTCCGCCAGTTCCCGACGTCTTCTTGATCAGTCTAGACACTGTCATCCCCCAACAATGAAAGATTCTGAGTCGTATGTCACGCCCCGCCTGCCATCCTTGCAAACCTCGCCGTCACCCTTGAAACAAGCTGAGCAGCATATCGCCGCCCACAGGACACGCTGATGAGACCGCCTGGGACCCAGGTGGTAGATTAGCGACCTAGGATTGAGTTGCTCCTGTGATGTTGCAGGATATCTTGGGTCCTCGTTCTGGGCTTCTGATGGTTTGAGTCTGGCCGAACCATGCACTTATTGACAAGGTTGAGGCGGGCTTTCTGATTTTGTAGAGAAGTGCTGCTGAGCATCGACTGGATGTTTTCCTTCATCTCCGCCCAGGATTATGGCAGCGCTGATCGGTGGCGCTGCTCTGTTACTTGGACGAAACCCGAAAAGCCCAAACGCATGGGACATCTTTAGCCTAAAGGGTGCGCAGTGCAGTTTAAGTTAAGGGCATGCAGAGTTGGACCATGCAGAATCTTGTGTTTGCAGTCTGTGCGGGCGTGGCCCGTTTGGAGCACAAGAGGTTTCATCACTTTCGACCAGTCGCTTCTGCTCACAGCCGCAGAGTCCGAGAGAACCCGCACTACAGTAGTTGATGAATCCTTGTCCGTTGATGAATCCTTGTTTCAGCTCCTGCTCGCTATGCGCCCTGAGTTCCAGACCTCCCATTCACTCCTTAACCCATGTCCTGTGCGAATCTCCGGGTACGCCATGGAACTTTTTTCCCTTAAAGTTCTGAACACCTCAAAGCCCGATGCCTCAGTGCAAGCACCTGAACACCCGAAGCCCTAAAACCCCCCAAAACCATAATTTGTTCACCGCTTTGGTCAAGGATTCCGGGTTTAGGGTCTGAACCCAATAAACCCTAAACCCTAAACTCCCTAAACCTTAAACACCCTAAACCGTAAACCCTGAAGGACGGGCTTGTTTTCTTTTTTGGTTCAGGGCTGCGCTCTGACACCAAAGGAGCCCTCGCCCCGACAGCCCCAAAACTGGATGGACAATGACACCTATCCTTTAATCTGTTAGGCACACATTGCCTATATAAATAAAATCATGGTTTCTCCTTGATGTTTGTTTATGTGGTTTTGTGTTTATATCTGTATTGATTCAAGGTTTTTTGCGCAGGGGCTGTATTTCCGGAACAAGCATTACAAGCATTACAAGCTGTAGAGGGGTTACTTTGCCTAGCGGTCAAACATAGTATCTGCTTTGGCATTGAAGTAATCCCTATATACGGGGACTTTGGTGCCAAAGTACATACTGTTTTGGTACATGAGCCCTTCGGGTTTTCTGCTAAGTACAACATAGAGTCCTCTTCATTCCCTTTGGTCAGGAAGCGGAACTACGCCGGCCAATGCAGGTAGGGTTTAGGACCACACTTTCAAGTACCAGGTTCCTATGCATCAAAGCAGCACGGCTAGTCACAAAGACGGGGAAGTTATGGTAGCACCGATAGAGTCAACACCTGTACCCTTGACATTGCCCTCAAACCCTCAACCCTAAACCCTACATCCTAACCCCAAAACCTTGGATCCTAAACCCTAAATCATAAACCGTGAGGCTCTGTGTACTGCCCGTCTGGTACTCGGTGCAGATGTGGAAGCAGCCTTTTTGCGCCACTCCTTGAGCCTTGCGCCCACACGACCCCAAAACCAAAACACTCTAAAGGGTCCTAGGTACTGTTATGGGGCATATTTCCCCAAATCATAATCGTAATTCCTTTTATAGAAACCCCCTACATTCTACTGTATAGGTACTCTGGACCTTTGGGACCTGAAACACTGCCTCAACCCGAGACCCTGAACCCGGAAGCCCATCTCCGAAATCGTGGACCACTCTTGGGAACAGGGCTCCTCCTGATCCCGACGGCCCCAGAGCCTGAACTTCCGGATGTTTTGTGCTTAGGGTTTCAGGGTCTTCGGGTTTTTATGATGGGGTTCACGGTAATTGTTTTAGGGTGTCCCAAAGTAGTTCCTTTTTGGGAGTGCCTTATAGGATTCTAAATATGAACCCCAAAGAGGAAGTACTTTGCGGCCTTTGGGTCATTTAGGGGGTCTAGACTGCGACCTGAACCAAGTCCTTCCGGGTTCGACCCATGTAGATTTGGACCAGAAGGACGTACTTGCAACAGTGAACAAGACATGAGGTTTCATGTGTAGGGCCTTGGGTTGGGAAACGGCAGGATACACGCCCATGCTGAGATCCCTTTGACTGACATATTCCACAGCTGTGGAGCTTTGTTCTTTTGGTTCTGATGCAGACTAAGCTGTCTAGCATGGTGAGAAGAGTTCAGACAGCTTGCAACGGTTCATATTCAGATCATGAACCTCGGTATATGGCAGTGCCGCCTTTCTCTTCACGTGCAGTCCTAACCCGGAAACGCAAATCCTCACGGCCATTTTTTGTAATTGCCCATAGGCTCCATAGTAGTTCCTTTTTGGGATTGCCTTACAGGGTTCTATATATGAAACCCCCAAAAAGGAACTACTATGGAGCCCTATAGGGTAATTATCATGGAGTTCATTCCTTCGCGTTTCGGGAGTTTGGGGCCTGGAGCTCTGGTTTCGGCGATTTAGGGTTTCTTGTAGCTCTTGTGCCAGGACCCCTCAATGGCCACTTGATAGAGCCCTTATGGTCCTTAATAGTGGCTGTTTGGGGCACAGTAAAGGGTGGTTGGGGGGTCTAGGTAGGTAACCCTGAAGATTTTGGGGTTTATAATAATCCTTCCATAGTCGAATACGTTAAGCTTTTTTGGGCTTAGGGTACTGAGCCCGTAAGGTTTAGTGTCTAGAGCTAGAAAAACAGAACAAGCCGTACTAGAATTTTAGAATTTACAATGATTTCTTAACGAAGGAATATCGGTGTCTCAGGGTAGAGGGCATTGCCGACGAGGCAATCGTGTTTTTGGTCTACAGGCCTCGCGCTCGGACGGATGCTTCAAAGATCGCTAAAATCTCCAGTTGAGACGCGTTCTGTTTCCTTCTTAACATTCTGAAGACGGGGACCTTGTGGTGTTTTTGAAATGGCATAGAAATTGCAGTAACTCTGCAAACAAACAGGTCATGGCATGCTACTCCTACAGCTTGCTACTGTCCGGACCCGTCAGCAGTACACCACAGCATGAAGTCTGAAGGACGGAAGAGCTAGACTCAACACCGACATGTTGGGTTTCGCATGCCTCCTAACCACCGCAGCACCTTTCAGTTGATTTTAGTTTGCATTCACACTGTCGCTATACGTCTGCCGAGAAGTCGAGAGTGTCAATCCCATGAGGGAGTTTCCGGAAATGAGGGTACCTTATTTTGGGGGTCCTTATACAAAGGATCCTACTATTTAGCGTACTATGATAATAAGGCCCCCATACTTACTCATGCTACATAAGTTCCACTGCACTTGCATGAATCCTACATCGATCTCCTCCGCATGCCCTTCCCTTCCTGCCGTCGTCCTTTCCATGACGTTCACCCTGACACACCTTCAAACCCCTAGACCCTAAACCCGCATGACCTCGGGCTCGGCTCCACCCAAAAGTAACCAATGTACCCCGAAAAAAAGGGGGGTATGATTCTGAAAGCCTGGTACAGTTTACCTGTTTAAACATACCTTGGTTACTCTAGGCAGGGTTTACAAGGTTCAGGATTTCGGGTTGTTGGTTTGGGGCTTGTGTTTTTTAGGGGTCAGGCTTGCAACGAGGTGGGTGATTGCTGAAGCTGTTTACGGATACGAAGTTTGTTCATGTTTCATATGGCCCTGTGATGTCCTCGCAACTTAAATGGGAGATTCCGAAAATTAGGGGTACCTTATTTGGGGTTCCTTATAGTGAGGATCCTACTATTTCTGGTGCTATAGTAGGGCCCCCCATTTTCGGAAACCCCCAAATCGGCTCAGGAGTTGTAGGTTCCAAGCCCAAAGCCCCACCTAGGATGCCCAGTAGTACCCTTATTCCCTTTTTGTAGTCCTAGGTTCCTTATAAAGTTACCCAATACCAAAAAGAGATGCCTTTTTATTCTTAGGTTACTGGGTATCCTAGCCACTCTGGAGCATTGCAGCAAGTAATTCAGGTTGCCAGTAAGCCCTGAGCCCGAAGCCTATACCTCAAACCTCCTGAGCTGAGATGCATTTCGCAAGTGTCGAACCCTAAACCCTGAACCCCTAAACCCTAACCCCTAAACCCTAAGACCCTAAAGCCTAAACCCCAAAACCCTAAACCCTAAACCCCTAAACCCTAAACCCTTAAACCCCTAAACCCTAAACCCTGAAACCCTAAACCCTAAACCCCTAACCCCTAAACCCCTAAACCCTAAAACCCTAAACCCCTAACCACTAAACCCCTAAACCCTAAACCCTAAACCCCTAAACCCTAAAGCCTAAAACGGGAAAAAGGCTCTATGGTCACGGAAAGCCCTCCAGAAAAACTCCTTCTTCGCCTTTAGGGCCTGCAGGGCCATCTCCTGGTGGATGAGACAGTCCTAGTCCGACGGTTGATGATATGAATCTTGCATTACCCATACTAAGGAATATACCATAATTCCCATGGTTTAGGGTCCTTAAGGTCATGCAGGATGTATATCATCAACAGTAGTAGTAGAGCAGGTAACCTTTAACCTTTGTTGGGTAGTATAGTCCCTACCTGTATCCCCCAACCTTACAAAACAGTAAATTATGACCCCCTTAGTTAGAGGGTATAACCCTTAAAACGGTATATAGGTTTTTGAATCCCCAGGTATATAATCCCTATATCACCAAAGAGGTTTACCTTTAGTTCCCCATGATACCCGGGAAGTAGGCAGTGTGGTCACCATGCTATGAGCAGGTGAGCGGGCTCCGGGCAGAGGCCCCAAGGGCAGCCAAAGAAAATCGCGATCCTCGGAGGGCAATGGTCGGAGACTGCCGAGCAGTACCTCCCCACCACCGAGTGCAAGATAAGCGAACTCCCAACTGACGAGATGGCGAGGCTCACACTGCAAATATGCCTGCACCGCAGTGACAGCTGTCGCTTCATCTTCGATGTGGCGGTCTTGCCTCGGCCACCGGGAGTGGCAGATGCGAGCACCATCCTGTCCATGGTAAGCTCCCGCACCTCCCCCCAAAACAAGGGCAAGAAGAGCACAGATAGCGAAAACGAGGCTCTCGCACGCCAGCTTTGCCAAGCCAAAGCCGTCACGGCACAGATGCGCCAAGTTGCAGCGGCAACTTCGCGAAGCCCGCGCTGCGGTCGTAAAACCCTAAACCCTGAAAGACAGACCAGATACTCGCTCCTGGCCACTGGCCACCACACACACTTACAACACCAGAAAACAACTATTACTACTATTACTACTGTTACTAAATTATTACTACTATTACTACTATTACTACTATTGCTTCTACTGCTACTATTACTACTATTACTACTATTACTACTATTACTACTATTACTACTATTACTACTATTACTACTATTACTACTATTACTACTATTACTACTATTACTACTATTACTACTGTTACTACTATTACTATTATTACTACTATTACTACTATTACTACTATTACTATACTAATACGATTATTACTATACTATTACTAGAGGAATACTACCATTACTATACTAGTACTATTACAATTATTACTACTATGTCTATACTATTACTATAGGTGGCGGCCGCGGGTGCTTCGAAAGCGGGCCTACCAGGCTCTGCTGCTCGTGGCTCACCTATAGTCTCCATGGTAGTTCCTTTTTGGCGTGACCTTATAGGATCGTAATTATATAATTGGTTAAGCAAAAAAGGCACTACAATGGAGACTACAGGCAGGTTTGGGGCTTCAGGATTTCGGCATGAGGGTAGAGTTTCGGGTTTAGGGATTTAGGGCTTTAAGGGTTTAGGGTCTAGGGCTTTATGGGTTTAGGGATTTAGGGCTTTAAGGGTTTAGGGTTTAGGGCTTTATGGGTTTAGGGTTTAGGGCTTTAAGGGTTTAGGGTTTAGGGCTTTATGGGTTTAGGGGTTTATAGGGTTTAGGAAGCCTACCTGTATCTCCAGAAGCTTCATATGCTGAGACAATGACACTTGCTTCTTGAACTTTGTACATACCCTTCCAAACGGTAGGTCTGTTGGGCCATGGGGAAGGTGTGGCTTGTGCTCCACTTTTGGCAAACGCGGTCTGTGGAGGGGCTAGGTTTGTTGATTTTAAGGGTGTGGTTGCCGCTTAGTTCCGTGCTGTAGAGAAAATGTCAGACGTACATCGAAGCTGGTGCTGCTGGGTTTTGGAAGTTCGCGGTTCCCGAGCTTTCGATGCGGAGACTCTTGAATTCAACACCCGGACATTCCAAGATCCCCCCTTTATGGCGCAAACCGCGAACTAAACCCTGGACCTGCCCTGAACCGGCTGAGGGTTTAGGCCTAGTCGTAGAGTAGGTAACCTTTAACCTTTTTTGGGTAGTATCGTCCCTATATAATCCCTATATAACCATAAAGGTTAACTTTTGTTCCCCCTGATACCCGACAAGTAGGCAGGGCTTAGGGCCATGAAGGAACCTTGTAGTACCCCAAGACTCGTGACTAGGAGCCTTTATGGCCGAAGCCTTGAACCCTATACAACCCCAAGACTAATGGCATAAACCCTACACCCCTAAACCCCTGAACCGCTAAACCCTACTAAACCCTACTAAACCCTAAACCCGACTAAACCGAATTAACCCGAAAACGCGCAAAGAGGAGTTCCAGAGCGAGCAGAGCAAAGGCAGTGCTACGGTTTCCAGAGATCCGGAGAAGGACCTGACAGGCCTTTGGGTCCCTTGGGGTTTAGGGTTTAGGGTTCCTTTAAGGGATTCTTTGTTTAGGGTTTAGGGCTCCTTTAAGGGATTCTTTGTTTAGAGTTTAGGGTTTAAGGACCTGACAGGCCAGGTTTAGGGTTCCTGTAAGGGATTCTTTAAGAGTTCCTTTAAGGACAGGCCTTTGGGAAGGGAGTCTTTAAGAGTTCCTTTAAAGGGTCTATATGTGTTTAGAGTTTAGGACAAGCCTTTTGGGTGGCTTAGGGTTTAGGGCATAGGGTTCCTTTAAGGGATTCTTCAAGGGTGGCTTGGGGTTTAGGGCCTTAGGGGTTTCGGGGTTTCTGGTTTAGGGTTTAGGGCTCCTTTAAGGGATTCTTTAAGGGCTTCCTGAAGGGATCTATATGGGTTTAGAGTTCATTTAGGGTGTATAGTTTGAGGTGTAGAGTTTGGTGTTTCGGGGTGAGGGTTTGGCAGAGTTTTTCGATATAGGGCTTATGGTTTCAGAGTTTATAGAGTTCGGGTTTGGGGGTGAGGGTTTAGAGGTGTTTCGATTCACGGATTATGTTTCGGGTTTGGGCTTCCGGGTTTGGGGACAAGGGAGTCTCCTGCAGCAAGCAGCTTGGAACATGAAACGTATGCCCCGGAACAGGCAAATGGACGCCTGCCGCTCCAAGAACGTTCTTTTTTTGAGGGAGATGGTGGGGGGTTCTGGGTCAGGGGAATCATACCCTATAGCTCATGTACCACTGCAGTAAGTAGGCTCTTAGTATATATTTTGGGCCCCCAAAGTATATACCATACTGTTACTTGGACCCTTTGGGTAGTTCATCGGTCATAGCCTACTTTGTTGTTGGGCTGTGCGCTTAGGACGCAGGGTGGCCCGGCTCAGGGGTTGCGCCCGAATATGGAATGCAAAGGAATGGAAAGCACGAAATGAACGGAAAGAAGAATGAGGAGTGAACTAGATTTTAGTAAGAAATAGAACAAGGAACGTTTCTAAGCTTAGAAATTATTCCTTCACCGCAGAACGATGACCTGATCGTCAACTTAGCATGAGCACGAGCCCTAAAATGCATGAAGCCTACCTTTTCATGTGGGTAGTGCTCTAAAATAGGACCCCCTCTTAGGTCCCCAAAATAGTGCGGCGCCCTTAGAAAAAAACGGTTGATGACATAAATCCTGCCTTACCTTAAGGACCCTAAACTATGGGAATAATGGTATATTCCTTAATATGGGTAATGCAGGATTTATATCATCAACCGAAGGACCCTAAAAAGGGAGAACTACTCGTAGCTTTTCATCTTTAGCCTGGGCTTCACCCAACATCAGGTCGCTTCTACATCAGAGAAGTTCTCAAACTAGGGCCCTTTTCAGGGGACCTTTAAGGGTTCCTTTTACAGGGGTCTATAAGGGCTACTATAAGGGCCATTATAAGGATCCTAATGTATGGGGTTCATACATAGAATCCTATAAGGTACTCCCAAAAAGGAACTACTTTGGGGCCTCTGGGTAGGGGCTAGGGGTTCTTGCGTAACTCGCTTATTACGTCGCATGATCCCTGAAGTTTGAACACGCGTTTTGGCGACCGCGGCAACTTCGTTTCCACAGAGCGCCGCCATCTCTCCAACCCAAGCTCAATCCCAAACCTCAAGACACTAGAGCCGCTCTCCGCAGGGAAGATGAGCAGACTGGCGGAGCAGGTCGACCCATTGGGGTTTGCAGTTGTTTGGATTATTTTAGGGTGCATGGATTCGGGACATTGCTGTGAAGGAGCCGTGCGGAGTTGTGTTTCACATGGGGTCGAGGCCTGGGGATTGGGCGCGGAAGATCGGGTCGGAACCCCTTGTCATTCTTTTTCCACTTATAGCATAATGTGTCCCAACAGCCTATTCTAGTTACTAAGGCCCCTTGATGTACTAGAGGGTTGTCGGGTAAAGTGCGGCAAAAGGGCTGAAATGTTCGGCTTCACTGTGACTGCAACTTTGATTGCCTTTGCTAACGGCAGGGGACAACAGATTAGGCTTTAGTGTTTTTGTCAACCGTGCCAGCAGATGTGCCGCAGAACCCTGACTGCAAACGCAGTCCTAACCCCAAAGAAGCTGAGACTGAAAAACAGCTACTTTTGTTTGATTGTTTTGCTGTTGCCAAAGCTGAATAGTTTCCGCGTGCGAAGCATAACAGACCACAACATGCGACTGTCATGGGACGCATGTTCCGACTTCGTAGCGTGTAAAACATCGTGCACAGTAGCCGACTGTGTAGTCGTGCTCGAATGACGAGGAAGGCATAATGCAGTGCAGTGTTTTCTATTTGGGCACATGGACCACTAAAACCCTAGACCCTGAACCCTTATGGTATTTGGGTACTTAGGGTTTCAAGGAGGTACATAATGCCCCGATGGTCTGCAGCAGGCGCATGCAAAGCAAGCCATGATGCCCGCGGCTGCAGGTGCGAACTCAGCTGCCGTCATCTCCGAACCATTCATTTCCCCTTTGTTTTTCTATGTATATCCATGTATATCTACGTATCTCTCTCTATATATATATATATATATATATATATATATATAAGTATATATATATATATATTGTGGATAAACAACCGTGTGTCTCTATACCTACACATCTGTATGTCCTTATTATCGATCTGTACATGTGCATGTATTTATGTGTATATCTATATATAATGTGCTTACTTTTTTTGTGCAGTGGTGTGTATCTTTTTTTAATGCTTCAGCCCCCCGAACCCGAAAACTCCCAAACCCTACCCTGAACCCGCAGCTCTGAACCCAGGTGGGCCATCAATCCGGCACCTACTGTAAGGGCTTTAGCAGTAACCTATGTTGTTTTGGGTTTCTTAGTGTAACTATAGTATAATGGGCCCCAAAACCCTAGTCTAATTATTAAGGCCCCTACATTGTAGTACCCTTACAGATCCCTTAGAGTGACCCTTAAAGGACCCCTTTAGAGGAACCCTATTCTAATTATTAAGGCAGCTAAGGCCGAGGTTCGAGACGACTCCCGGAGCATGCAGCTCGTAAACTGCCTGTTTTGGGATGTTTTCGGTTTATGACTTATAGCTTAGAAGCTGCCCCCACCCTGTAATAGTGACTATAAGGATTATATTAGGCCCTTTTATATTCCTATTACACCACTATTACAGGGTGGGGGCCCCTTCTAACTTATAGCATCATCTAGGGTTTAGGGATAGGGTTCCTTTATAAAGGGGTCTATAAGGGTCACTATAAGGGATCTAAAAGGGTACTATGATGTAGGGGCCTTAATAATGAATGGGGTTTGGGGGTATGTTGCACTATCATTACAAAAAGGAAGCGACAGTATGTGCAGCTGCTCGTGGCAGCACCAGCAGGTGGTGGCATGAATGATCGTCTTGCTGTCTACAGTCTTAAGGTACAAGACACCACTCTGTCGCACTCGTGGGCCCTGAATTCGACCGTCCTGATGATCCCCATACTATCCCCTTTGAAGGAACTCTACAAAATACCCTTCAAAGGAGCCTGATAGAACCCTAGAGTACCCTTTTTCGGGGGCCCTATTTATAGAACCCTATACTATCACCTTTAAACCAGCCCTCAAGATTTGGGGAGGTCTCAGAGCAAAAGCTTCGGTGCCCACATCCGCGCCTTCGGCCCGGGGACCCAAAGAACGGACTGGGAAGCTGCGAAAAAAAGGGGCTTCGGCTAGGGTTTACGGTTTGGGGGCTTGGGGTTTAGGGTTTAGGGGTTAGGGTTTGGGGTTTAGGGCTTGATGGGGTTTATGGGCTTAGGCGTTTCGGGCTATAGGGCTTGAGCGGTTTAGGGGGGTAGGGGTTTGTGGTTTGGGGTTTAGGGTTTTAAATTTAGGGTCTAGGGGTTTCCTGGAGCTCAAGGTATGTAGATTAAGAGCGCTTTATAGGTGTCGGTAGGATTGGGGTCCGAGTACGTTGAAGCGCAGGTTTACTGGGACTTTGCTGGGAGATCGTTACTCATTTTTCATACCCCGTTCTGAGCATAGTACACTGCTTCAAAATTTAGAGTGTACCCCAAGGCTCCTCACAGGCTGCGTGTCGTTTCGGCCCCACCGTGAGAGGTAAAGACCTTCCGGTTGTTTTGATGTGAGGAGGGGTGAGAGTATATGGGTGGTTGTCAAAATTATGGTCCTTGTGGGTCCTTATTAGAATACGGCACCTAATATTTAGGCTACCCAAAAAGGGACCCTAATTTTGACAACCACCCATATGTGGGGTTTAGTGCGGAGTGAGGTGGCTCCAACAGGCTGCTGCGGGTTTTTGTTAGGCCCACTGAGGGTTCGATGCGTTCAGGGTGCTGTTTTGAGGAGGGTCGGACAGTATAATTATCTGCTTTCTAATTTACGGAGGTTCAGGGTTAAAGTGGAGGGCATAGCTATTGCAGAGTCTTAAGATGTCTTAAGTTTAAAAGCTTTCATGGGGATTTCTAACTTTGTCAGTCGTCTCCTCGTTGCGTGGTTTCTGCTTTCTGATGATTTGCATTTAATGAGTTGCTACAAAGCTCGCGCCTATGAGATTGCTGTGATGTTGCCTTGTGCTCGGTTGTTCCTGCTAATTACTGCTTGATCCTTTTAACAACTAATTACACCGTTCAATCCCAGCAGCACCACCCTAAATCCGAACTCCATCAACCCAGGCTGACGGTATGCTGCTGCCGAACACCTTGCTGCCGAACCCAAAGAAAGGGACCGCGTTCGGGGCCCCGGGTATTGTAGGGACATGAGGTGGCTTTGAGGGGTTTCGTGTGCCTTTATTCAGGTGAGACAAGCCAAGCCATGCTGGAGACTATCCTACCCATTGAGTAAGGTTAGGTGGTCTTTTGTGTCTCTATTCCAAACTGACATTTGCGACTCCCGGCATCTTCAAAAGCTCGTGATCCGCATCCGAGCCATAACCCTAAGGGTCCATGTGCCCAAACAAGGTTCCTTAAGGTGGTGCGGCTAGGGGTTCTGTGGGGGCTTTAGGGTTTAGGGTGTAAGGGTCCATGTACCCAAACAATATGCACTGTGGCCATAAAGCAGTCCCCATGTATGTTGTTACTTCGGGGCCAGAGTGTATACTATTCGAGCGAGCACATGGACCGTCAGGAAATCAGAGCCATGAGGGCCCTTTCTTGGGGACCACAGAAAGACAGGTGCACTACGGTTGATGAAACAATTCCTGCATTACCCATAATAAGGACAAAATGGGAATTATGGGAAATTCCTTATTATGGGTCATGCAGGATTTCTATCATCAACCGTAGGACCTCTGTAGAGGGGTGGTTCCAGGCAGCCATGATAGTGAGATCCTCATGTTGCAATTTTTATATCCTCCAATCCCTACATACATCCATCCCTACCTCCATTCATCCATCCATCCATCCATCCATCGATCCATCGATCCATTCATGCATTTATCCAGTCATCCTTTCATACATTCATCCTTTCATCCATTCATCCACCCATCCATCCATCCAGCTAGCCAGCCATCCATCCATCCACCGATCCATTCATCCATCCCTCCTTCCCTCTCTCCATGCATGCATGCATGCATGCGTGCGTGGTGCGTGAGTGCCTGCGTGCATGCGTGCATGCACACGCACATACCTATGTGTATATATATATATATATATATATATATACACAGACATACATAAACACACACATTTGCATGCATACACATACATACAGACAGACAGATATCAAGCTCATACACACTTACGTGCGCACACGTACACACTTACACGCACATAGATACATGCATGCATGCATACATACGTGCCAATAATATGCAAACATACATGCATACCTGCATGCCCTATACCAGGAGTGCGTCAGCAGTTGCGGATGTGCTTGGCTCCTTGGCCTGATGCTTTCGAGCACTTGTCTGACAAGGGAGTCGGTTTAGGGGGTTTAGGGTTTAGGGTTTAGGGTTTAGGGTTTAGGGTTTAGGATTTAGGGTTTAGGGTTTAGGGTTTAGGGTTTAGGGTTTAGGGTTTAGGGTTTAGGATTTAGGGTTTAGGGTTTAGGGTTTAGGGTTTAGGGTTTAGGGTTTAGGGTTTATGGTGTCTCCCGAACGGTCCAAACGACCCAAGAATTAGGTAATTACTCAGCTTTCGAGTTGCAGTTGTGGAGGTTACTTGGGAGAGTATATGATGCTCAGGTACTTAGACTTGAACCCTTAGTAGGGTATGGGCTTTGCTTTTGGGGGGCTTCACTCTTCGGACAGGGTTCTCAGGATTCAGGGTTTGCCCTATCCCTCCAAGGACCTCATAGTTAGGGTCCTAGACCCCTTAAGATAATAAGGTCCCTGGAGGCATAGGGTTAGGTTTGAGGTGTACAGTGTCAGGATTTAGGCTCTAACAGGGTTTACGGGTGCAGTGGGAAGGCTCCCCGAGCCACAACGCCTTACACGACCATGCATCTCCGCTCAATCTTAATGTACGAACCTGATTAAGCAACCTTGGCTCTTTATTTACGCTTCCTTATACGAACCCGAATATTTTTTGGGGCTATAGGCCCAGGGTTGCTTGATCAGGTTTCTACATTGCCCTTTTGCAAGGATATCGCCTTTTATTAGAGGTGGTCCTTTAAGCACGGTGTTCTCGAATGGTGCTTGTCTGCGGCCACCGGCAAGATTTCAAGTTGCCCGTAGCACATACTCGTTGTAAAAAAGTTAATGTGTAGAATCTAGGGCTTACTTTAACCCCAAATAACCTACCCTTTCAAGGGCTTCTATAAGGAAATCGTATTCAGGAGCCCTCAAATGGTAGGTGATTCATAGGGTTTCGGGCTTACTGCTTTTTTCAGGCCGGGCTTCGGTGTAAGGGTGGGGTTTAGGGTTTAGGGTTTCCATGACGGTTGAATTCCAGCCCCCAGCGAAATGCGGGTTTCAGAGAAAATGGGGGACCCTAATATAATAGCCCCAAGCAGTATAGGATCCTTATTATAAGGACCCCTAAATCAGGTACCCCTATTTTCGGGAATCGCAAGCATTGACATGCTAAAGAGGTCGATGAAGGTGAAAAGCTTTTTTAACCTGGTAGAAGCGCAGGCAACCTTTAACCTTTGTGGGGTACTATAATCCATATGTAAGTCCAATTTACTCCCAGAGGCTAAGCTTTAGTTCACCAGGATACTCGAAAAGTAGGTGAAGGCCACCAACTGCAGAATCCGAGTCACCAGCAGCTCGAAAATACTAATATGTCCCTGCACGCTTAACCCCCAAACCCAAAGCCCTAAACCCTAAACGCCCGAAAAATAAATTCTAATCTCTATCTGGGACCTAGACCCCCCAACTACCCTAATACCCACTATCAACGGCCATAAGGACTCAATTAAAGGCCGTTGTGGGGGGGGGTTGTTAGAACCCTAGTTCATGTTTGTGGCCTTCGATGTGTAGCAGCCTTGGGATGAATAGACAGGCCGTAAGAATTACGAACTGTATTCTATTCCTGACTTTAGCCTTTGGAAGTTTTTTTTGGGGATTGAGGGTTTCACTGTTATACCGTATACTTCCAAATCCGACTCTAGTTTTTTCAGAGGCCCCTTTCTTATTTTGGACTTGAGTTTCTGGCTTGGGGCTTCGGTGTTCTTAGGGCGTGATGGGAATCAATCACGCACCCAGATCCTTGTTAATTATACCTGTCCTAAACTCCTCAGCCCCATATCCCAAACACCGAACCTTGGACCCTAATTTTGAGGGCCGAGCCGCGTGCCTTAAAGGCCCTAAAGCCTTTCCTTGTCCGACGCAGGGAGGGTCTGGAGAAAAGGAATTCAATACTGAAGATCCCAAAGCAAAGGTTGTCGGGTCAATCGAAGCCACTTAGGCAAATCCTCCACGATGTCGCAAGAGGGCATCTACGAGGGCCCCACTAGGTTCGGGTTTGGGGTTTGTCCTTCTTTTGCGCCGTGGGATTTAGGAGCTTTAGGGCATTTGTGCTTTATGAGATTGAGGGGTGGACAGTAACTCTATGGGATTTTCCGAGAATTAGGGGTACCTTGTTTTGGGGGTCCGGCTACTTAGGGTACTATATTAGGGTCCCCTATTTTCGGAAACTCCCATGGAGCTCAAGTTGCTGTCGCCTTTCCGGCAAGTCTTTGGTTTCGAGAGCTCCTCCAAGCGAAGCGCCACTTTAGAAATCACCGCAGGCGCCAACTAGCTGAATTTCCCATAGGCTAAATCGTAGGTCCTTTTTGTGGCTTATAGTTAGGGTCCTAGAAGGTAATCCCCAAAAAGGAACTACTATGGAGCCTATGGCTTATGGGTAGATCCAGGGAGGCGACAGGTTCGAAGCTAAGTGTCGGAAGCACTTCTTCAGGGATCAGGGGGTGAAGCACTCGGAGTTCGCGACGTCCTCTAAGTTGGGTGATAATGCTCTCGCTCCTGGTTGTACCAGGTGTTCAGAGGCTCAAGGACCTTGAGGCTTTTTATAGTTCTGGGGTTGCCCACATGACCTAGGAAGTAACAGTAGCACAGTACTTACTGAAAATCAGAGACAGCATTTGTAGCACGCAGACTATTGCAATAAATCCTAAGACAGGTCACCCTGGCAGAGGTCACACTAGTGGCTTTTGAAGGGGCCCAGGGGACTTAGCAAGTCGGGCTAGCAGTAGAGCAAGTATGGCCCTGCACGGCTATGACTTGTGACCACAACTACGTACTTACAGCTGAGAACCCTGCGCGCTAAGTCCCCTTATCCCCCAAACCCCACAGCCTCGCCCCTTAACCCTCGTGGAAACCACATCTTTCAGGGGTCCAAAGGACCCAATAAATAGGTACTTGGGTTTAGGATAGTAGTTCTGTAGCTCAATATGGGAGTTTCCGAAAATCAGGGGTATCGTATTGTGGGGTCCTTACGAAAGGATCCTACTATTCAGGGTACTAGATTAGGGTCCCCTATTTTCGGAATCTTCCATATCTAGAAGAGTATATGACTATTAACCCTAAACCCTAAACCCTAAACTCTAAACCCTAAACCCTAAACCCTAAACTATTAGGTACTTGGACCCAAAGGGCATGGGAGCCAGAGAAAGCCAGAAGTCCCTTGATCCTGTGAGTCTCAGGTTCGAAGCAAGGGCCCCCAAAAATTCGACGCTTAGGCCTTTTAGGGGATTCTGGGGACCCTTATGGCTACATATATATATATATATATATATAGAGAGAGAGCGAGGCTACCCATCCATATAGGTCTATAAGGATCCCAGGGTTCAGGGCCCATACTAGGTGCCCATGGTTTCACTTTAGATTGAGTGGCCTTTCTGGCAGGCAGTGGTGGAAAGACTCCAGCGGGCCAGGCAGGAGCAGCTTTTGTTGTTTGAGGAGTCGCTGGATTTAGGGTTTCAGGTATATGTTAGAAGGGGCCCCCACCCTGTAATAGTGGTATAATAGGAATATAATAGGGCCCTAATATAATTCTTATAGTTACTATTACAGGGCGGGGGCAGCTTCTAAGGTACATGGTTAGGCTGCATTTATTTAGGACGTAGGACGTAGGAATGTAGAGCTTCTAGACCGTGGCGAGACAAATGATGAACACCGGAAGCAGCTTCGCCGAAGCAAGAGTTCAAACCTTAGAGTTTATAGGGTTTAGGGGGTTGTCGTTTGGACTTTCGTGAACGACACTGTAAACCTCAAGCGCAATTAAAACAGCAAATCCTGATCGTTGTGCCACCACCATCCGTGAACCTTATGCCTTATGCCCCCAGCCGGAAAACCCTTAGCCCCAATCTTTAAAGCTGACCTTTAAACCCAACACACTCCAGACTCCCCCAAAAAACCCCCGTGAAAGGAACCAACAAAAGGAACCCGAAGCCTAAGAAGGCTACCCTAGACCCCAGACCCATAACCGTCGACCTGCCCAATCCCCACTTGGAGGTTCATTGGTAGTTATGAGTAGGATAACTATAGTCATGGCATATGTCAGGGGAAATATACCCTACTTAAAACTACCCATGCACCTCCAAGTAAACCCCAATCCCCAAACCCTAAACCCTTCACCCTAAAGCCTTAACCCCAAACCCCGAAACTCCTAAACCCTAAACTCCTAAACCCCAAACCCCAAACCCTAAACCCTACCTGAAGCTACCAAACCCTACGTTTGTGTAGGGTCCCTATAGACTCCATATATGGGTTCATAATCAGAACCTACAGAAATGTAGGGTCTGGTAGGCTAAGGTACCCAAAGGCCCCAAAGTAGTTCCTTATTGGGGTTCATATATAGAATCCACTCCCGAAAAGGAACTGCTTTGGGGCCTCTGGGTAAGGTAGTCCCCAAAGCCGAAACGCGAACTCCGCAAAGAGCAGGCCGGCCTCCGAACGCAGGCCTGGGAGGCTCGGGCGAGATTAGCTGGCGGTTGCTTTCGTAAATTCAGTGCACGTAGAAAGTGTGCTATACCCTAACGGTCCATGTACCCATATAGCATATACTTTGGGCCCAATGTACCGATATAGGGAATACTTTAAGGCCAATGTAAATACTATATGAGTACATGGACCCTCAGGGATATGGGTGATTGTCGAAATTAGGGTCCCTTTTGGGTCCTTCTTATAATACGGCACCTAATACTAGGATGCCCAAAAAGGGGCCATAATTTTGACAAGCATATGGCTGGGGGGGCCTTTAAAAGGGTTTTGTAAGGGCAAGGCAAAACAGGGGCGTAGGGGTGTTGGAATGTAATGTTTTCGGGTTTAGGGCTTCAGGACAGTTGGGTTTTAGATCTTTTGTATAACGCAGGCCTGTTTGCATAGTGTTCTTCTAAAAAGCCAAAGAAAGTGGCACAAAGAACAAGAGGGAAGTGAGTGTAGGGTTTCCTGTTTCGACTTCAACAGCTTGTGTTGACGGTCTTCCGTCTTGTTAAGTTAAGGTTTGGGTGTTGAGTGATTGGGGTAGAGCATGATTTTTTTGGTTTTTAAACATTTATTATACGATATGCCGTCCCAGTATGCAAACCTATGCTGACTACTGTCCTGGCTCACTCCAAATGCCGAATTATTGGGCGCGTGTGACCCGTATTGTTGCCCCCCCAAGACTTTGGGACTGTCTAGGTGTCTGAGTTATAAGCCCCCGAAAATGTGTTATAACTATAGGCATTCTACGTATATCCCTACTTATAACTAACCATATGGTTTAGTCTGGCTGCGTCGAACTTGGGAGCATCTCAGGCTAGGTTCCTCTTGCCATGTTCATCTGAGGGTGGCCTTATTAAACCTGAATACCTGGAAAAAAGGATACCCTGATTATTAAGGGGGCACGGGGGAAACCTTGAAGGGTTAAAAGGAAACTGGCTCAAGATGCTAGGGTTCCGATTTCCAGCAAAGCCGGAGACCTGGTTTCAAGCAGGGCGAGCAGCTGAAAGCTCTACCCAGAGGCCCCAAAGTAGTTCGTTTTGGGGAGCACCTTATAGGATTCTATATATGAACCCAAAAGGAACTACTTTGGGGCCTTTGGCTAAAGCTTAAGCCTCTAACTCCACAATTTTCACAACAGGAGCGTTCGTCCTAGGGTTGAGGCTTTAGGTTTTCTGCTTTTGCTGTCAAGTGTGGGTGGTTCCCACGCCCAGAGGCTATAGTGGCTTAAAGCTTCTGGATCCACTCCACGGCCGCGCAAAGCTCAAACCTCGAAAGCACATGACCTGGACCCTAAACTAAACCATAAATCCCTGAGCCCTATGTCCTAAATACCGAAACCCAAGGCCTTTGTAAATCCCTAAACCCTAAATCCCTAAACCTTAAACCCTAAATCCCTAAAGCCTATTAAACCCTAGATCCCTAAACCCTAAATCCCTAAATTCCTAAATCCCTAAACCTTTAAGCCGAGTTTTCCAATGACATCACCGACTCCAGGTTTCCGCCGTGGCGCGAAGGTCCAGCTTAAAGGCATGTTGGGGCTTTGGTTTAGGGTTTAGGGTTTTTGGATTTAGAGTTTTGGATTTAGAGTTTTGGATTTGGGGTTTAGGTCTAGGGTTTAGGATTTAGGGTTTAGGGTTGAGGGTTTGGAGCGGTGTGGAGATGATCGACTGGTTACAATTGAGGGTTTCGGCGTTTAGGGTTTGGAAAGGTAAGGTTTAGGATTATGATCGCCTGGTTATGGTCAGAAGGTTGAGGCGTACTAGCGCTCGAGAAGGTAGGGTTCAGAATTTAGGCGGTAGTGGGTCGGTGGCACCCATGGTCCTTTGAGGCAGCAAACATGACAAGGGGTAGGAGCCTGAGTAGAAGCCTGCCATGCTTACCTTCACACAATGCATGCAGTGAGGAATTTACTTCCTTGTCCCTAAAGGCTGTCGGGCTCTTTACCATGCACTCGGAGGAATCTCACCGCCAGGAGATGTTTACAATTACTTAACAGCCAGAACGCTTTCAAGACCTAAATCGCAAGCACCTTCACGCATCAACATTGACGTATCCAAAGTAAACCTCATACAAAGCCGGACAGCCCTCAGAACCACAAACTTCAAGATAGGTGTCCTGAAGTTTTTAACCTATCCTCAAAGCACTGACCTGGAATCTTAGATTCGATAGGCCGCTTGGTCCTAAACCCTAAACCACTTGTCTGCGTATACATATATATATATAGAGAGAGAGAGTCATAGAAAGGTACCTAGACAAATACATTTATACATATATATATGTATATATATATATATATATACTACATTATAGATTTTATATACATATAAGTATTATATCTATATATATATATATATGTAGATGGTAGACAGATAGCTTAGACCGTAGAATTACCACCATGTCAGGGCTACAGGCCTCCACTTGGAACGGATCCGAGGGCATCGTGGAAGGTGGGATGCCTCCACTCGGAGGTTCCCAGAGAGCCCAATACCCCTTAATTAAGGAATACCTAGGGTTCCTTTCAGGGATCCTTAAAGGGATCTATAGGCTTATGTAGGGTTTAGGGGATTATAATACCCCTTAATTAAGGAATATGGCTTAAATTACATAGGGCTTCATATTATGATCAAAGCTATATTCCTTAATTCAGGGGTATTGGGCTCCCTGGGTTCTTGGGTAGCCATAAGCAGGGTTTATAAGGTTCCCTTAGAGATCTGTAAGGATTCTTTCCGTGCTCTACTTGAAGGTTCATGTGTACTTGTAAGTGGGGTTATAAATCATACACCGTACTTGTAACTACCCAAAAACCTGCAAGTAGGGTATCCAACCCGTCCGAACCACTGTGCCAGAATCCATAGAAGAGTCATTTAGGGTTTAGGGTTTAGAATAGCCATGAGGGGCTGCAGGCTTCCTCTTGGGTTAAGGGTGTGTGATTTCCTAGTAGTAGAGTAGGTAGCCTTTAACCTTTTTTTGGGTAGTATAGTCCCTATATAATCCCTGTATAACCAAAAAGGTTAACCTTTAGTTCCCCATGATACCCGACAAGTGTGTTTTACTAGATGGGGACAGCCAGGGGGCATTGTTTCAACGACTTCAGAGCTCTGACTTTTTGCTATAACTTCACTTGTAAGCTAAATGCGTCATTCGGGTTTCCTAAAATCCTCTAAGCCACTTAAAAAAATGACCCTGCACCCTAAAACCTAATGAAACCATATCTTCGGCGGGGTCCGATGAGCCCCAAAAAGGCCCCTACCTTTTCCACTCTGGCGCCATGGGCAAACGATCGAATATGAAACGGATGGGGAACTACATAATCTACAAGGAGGTGCCCGAGCTTGCAATTGCGTTCAATCAATGCATTCTGTAGTCATGGCCGTTTGCACTCAATGCGGTCTGGGCTTGTATGCACCTACCTGAGTCGACAACTTCGAAGTACCCGGGTCCTGTCGCGGTGCCTCCTCCGCCGAAGTGGGCATCTGGCCAGCATTCGGTTTCAATACAGTTACAGCCGGCTCGATTGCACATTGGCAACTTCTAGTCCTGGTTTGCTACGATCTCCTCCACCTCTTCTTCACGGGCCTCGGCTTGCTGCTCCAGCTTCCGGCCGGCAATTATTCTGCATTTGCTCAATGGCAAGGCTTGTATGCCCTGAACCCGAAATTTATCCTAAATGGCACTATAAAACCGAAATTTACCCTACAGGGCCCTAAAGCCTAAATTTACCCTAACGCGCCCTAAACCCCAAAATTACCTTACACTCTGAGTTTAGCTTAAAGGGCCCCAAACCCTAAACCGTTTAGAGTTCCCGAAGGCAGCATACGGCTTCAGGTTTTATCGAGAGCCTAAGGGTCCAAGTACCAAAATATCATATAATCTAAAAAACAGCAACCTACATAACTACTACCTTAACCGCAAGTAACCTACCTTTTCAAGGACTTATTTGAAGAAATCATGTTGGGGAACCCTAAGAAGGTAGGTTCCGTAGGGTCCAGGTATTACTATCCCAAACCCCAAGCAGCTAAAGACGGGGTCCTTTGGACCCTTAGCGAGAGCTACTGGTACTTGGAGGTTCGTGGGTGGCTAGAGGGCTCTATAAGGACTCTGCAAGGGCTCCTAAGCAGGAATATAAAAGGGGTTCTATGACGGTTTAGGGCTCAGGGATGGGTAGTTGTAAGTCGAAATAATAAGTGTCTTAGGGTTTAGGGTGTAGGGTTTAGGGGTTTCAGGTTAAAGTTTCTTAGGGCTTAGGGTGTAGGGTTTAGGGTTTAAGTTTCTTAGGGCTTAGGGTGTAGGCTTTAGAAAAAACCTACCTGCAAGCCTATGGAGAACTGCCCATGAACCTCCTTGGGTTGCATAAATTGTGGTAGTAACCTGCTAGTTAGGCAACTGGAGCCCTAAGGAATCCTTATAATAATAATAATAATATTAGTAATAATAATAATAAGAAGAATAACAATGGTAATAATACTAATACTAATACTAATAATAATAATAATAATAATAATAATAATAATAATAATAATTACAAATCAATCTTACTCCAAAGGGTTCCTTGTTACAAGTAACCCTTAAACCCTTGAACCCTAAACCCTTAAAGCCATAAACCCTAAACCCTAAACCCTAAACCCTTAAAGCCCCAAAACCCTTAAATCCCTACGCCCTAAACCCTTAAAGCCCTAAATCCCTCAACCTTAAACCCTAAACCCTTAAAGCCCCAAAACCCTTAAAGCCCTAAAACCGGCCCTAAACCCTAAACCCTTAAAGCCCTAAACCCTTAAAGCCCTAAACCCTTAAAGCCCTTAAAGCCCTAAACCCTGAACCCTTAAAGCCCTAAACCCTAAACCCTAAACTCTGAAAGCCCTAAACCCTAAACCTATAGTACAAAGTGTAGTTTTGGCCGGCAGGCTTCGACGAGCAACAGGGGGCCCTCGAGATTCGAGCCGTGGGCTTGGTGTTTTATTTTTGGGGTTTAAGGTTGGGGTTTAGGGTTAGGGTTTAGGGGTTTAGAGTTTAGGAGTTTAGAGTTTAGGAGTTTAGGGTTCAGGGTTTGGGGGTTTGCGAGTGGTGAAGCTGTTGGGCCTAGGCGCCGTGGCAAAGGTGCCACTCCCTCAAAGGTGGTGGAGTCGCCGCCTCCTGTGCAGCCATCTCCTGAGCAACTCGGGATTCCCGACGGGGTCTTTGAAACAGAAGGGAAGGCGCTGAAGCAGATTTCGCTCCTTGAAGTTGGCCCGAACGCCTCCGGGGTTGTCTTGGTTGGTGTACAGTCTGCTGAGCCCTACTTACACATAGACAAGCCTGTGTCTTCCCAAGGTCTTGGTCTGCTTGTTCTTGGTGCCTTTGACCTTGCGGCAACCACCCTGAAGCACACACCAGTTCGGTTCCGCGCGTTTGTTCGTGCAACTGACGAGCCCATCCTTCTTTCGGCGTTGCTGTTACAGATTGGAGACAAGTGGGTTGGCAAAGCTGTGCCGAGTACCACAGTAAACTTAGACTTGACGCCTTCGGCTGTGCTCAGGGTTGCTGTGTACCGCGACGAATGGGAAGGGCCTTGGAGTCTGATGACCCAGAAGCCGATTCGGGCCATCTTGGAGGTTGTGGCTCCATTGCGAACCTGCTCCCGGGTGGGGTGCACATGCGATGAGTGGCATGGGGTTGCGGCTCCTGGTGATCCGCCAGCCCTTCTTGAAGTGTGGGCTCGTGCCTTCCTCAGTGGCACCTTCAAGGTCGTGAGCCCGAGTGAGGCGGTCCTCTTCAACACCTTTGTCCGAGTGCCTGTCTCTTTGGTACCTGCCCTGCTGCGTGTGGCAGGTCGAGCTGGGGTCTACTTCGAGCCGCGAGCCGTGGATTCCCGGGCCCCGTCTCCTGAATACCAGGTGTTCTGGATGGCGAAGGCATCCAAACAAGAGGTTGTGGTTGCTGCCCAGTCCCAGGACAAAGCAATCGGCATTGCCCGCATTGGCCCGCGCTTTGGACTGAGGTGTTTGAGTGAGCATGCTGAAGCTCTTCATGGAGTGATCAAGCCCGGGACCCCGTATGTCGATCGTCAGACGGCGAAGTTGTTTCACACCGGACCTTGGCCTTTTGGCACTCAGAGGCGAGCCCTGGCCTCTTCGCTCAAGGATTGGGGCTGGCACGTCAAGCCTATGCAGCCTGTACCAGGTCAGGAGCGTCTTGGTGTTTGGTGGGCTGTGCAAGCCACCGAAGCTCCGCCTGCGAAGGTTCTTCAACTCAACAATGCTGAGGTCCTGGTAGTTGAGGTCAAACCCGCAACCGCAAAGCCAGATGTACCTCCGCAAGTGATTGCCACCAAGGCAGTGTGTCGCTCCCTAGCAGTGCAAAACACTTCAGGCCCGGATCCTTTGCAGGAGGATGACCCGTGGGCTTCCGCTTTGAGGGCTCGGGCCCACACTGCTGCTGCGCCGGCGGCTGGTCCTGGTGAGGCGACTAAAGCCATGGAGGCCAGGTTGCAGGCCCAAATCAAGGCTCAGATGGAGGAAGTGTCGAAGAATTTTTCAGGTCGTGTGCAAAGCCTGGAAGTGGGTGTCCAGAAGCTGGAGGTGGGATTCTCAGCGGTGTCGTCCAAGGTGGACCAGCAGGAAACCCGGCTGACGGAGGCGATGAATCAGTTGTTTGAGCGTCAAACTTTGAGGATTGAGGAGCTCCTGGCGCCGAAGCGTGCGCGGACGGAGGCTTGACTCGGTCACACCGGAGCTTGGCCTCCCAGGTCTGCCTGGCTGCCGGTTGTTGTGTTCTTTGGCCTGGCTAAGCCTTGTCATACAGTCTCCGTGTCGGCGTTGGATTTCCACCCGTCACAGGCGTGTGTTGATCGCCCTTCCTATCCTCTACATGGGACCGGCCATGACCTTTGGGGTGCTGTTGAATGTGATCTGGCTGACGAGCATTCACGGTTTTTGCCTCGCGCAGTGGCTGATAGTCTGAGCAAATCGTTGTCGCTACTGTGGATTTTGTCTTTCTGGGCATCCTGCACACACGTTGCATTCAATGCCCTTGTGGGCCTGCAAGTGCTCACTGCTTCCGTTCTGTTAGTTTGGGCAGCTCTGACCAAGGCGTTAGTTGTCTGCAAGGGTGCGATTCTGGGTGGGCCCAAAGTCGCGCCTGCACCTGGCCAATGGTACAAGCCATTATCTCGAATCTGGTCTTTCCTCCTTTTGCTGCCGCTCGGACACTCTGAGTCTTTCGCCCTTCGTGAGCTGAGCAAACCGCCTGTCCTGGTCCAGCTTGGAACCTTGTCTGCGCCGCCCCAGATGGGCCTCGCTTTTGATGCTGCCTCCTGCTTCTGGCCCTGGGTACCGAGTTGGCATGCTTGCAGGTGGCCTTGCCCTTCTTGCGTGTTCAATTGGCGTCCTTCCAGTGAACTTTGCCCTACTTGGGCCCTTTCTCCCGTCGCCCCGGTAAGGTCCCAGCTACTGGGGCGGTCAGCTTTGGCGTCCAATTGCCATCAAAACCAATCTCAACGCGTTGTTGAGCTTCCAGCGAACCCTACTTGGGCCCCTTTTCCCGTCGCCCCGGTAAGGTTTCAGCTACTGGGGCGGTCACCTCGGGCGCCGAATTGCCATCAAAACGGTTCTCAATGGCGTGTGCCCGCCGTTGGGCTTGCAAAGAACACTCCTTTGGTTGCACTTTGCCCTTCTTCGGCTTGTGTTCCCGTCGCCCCGGTAAGGTTCCAGCTACTGGGGCGGTCACCTCGGGCGCCAAATCGCCATCAAAACCATTCTCAACGCCTATGTGGGATGCCGAATTGTCATCAAAACGATTCTCAACGGCGTGAGCACCCTCCTTTGGTTGCACTTGGCCATCCTTCGGCTCGTCTTCCCGCTGCCCCGGTAAGGTTCCCGCTACTGGGGCGGGCACTTTGGGGCCGGAGTTGCGGCCACGTCGCCTTCCTTATGTGCCGAGGCCTTGACAATCTGCCTTATGTTGTGGTACCGTGTGGTCCGAGGCCTCCTCTGGACGCAGGCAAACTTGCACTTTGGTCTTGCCCCTGTGTTCGCGTTGGTGAAGCCCGTAATCCTGGACCGCCTCATTCTCCGGACTTGCCAGTCTTTCGAATTGGTGCCTGCAATCCCACAGGGCTCAATGGCAAGCATGGGGTCGTTGCTGACCTGCTGCCGGGGATTTACAGTGTATCTGAGGCACACCTTACAAGGCGGGGCCTAGGGCTCTTTCGTGTTGGCTTAAGAATGGCAAAGAGTGATCTCAGATTTGTGTCTGGGCCACCTGTGCTCCCACGCGCCCGCAGCTCTGTCACTGGTCAATATTCGGGTGTTGGCTTCCTCTCCTCCTTCCCGGCCCGTGCTGCCCCGCATGCCATTGACCCGGAGTACATTGCCACATCACGCATTCACCTGGCCAATTTCTTTGTCGGAGCTGAGTGGATGTTGGGTGCTGTGGTCTACGGTTTCCCTGTGCAGCCAAGTGCTACCGAGCAGTTGCTTCATGCCGTTACCGAACGGATTCTCAGTAATGGGGTGGGCCCGAGATTCATCGCTGGCGACTTCAATATTGAGCCCCATGCCTTGACTTTGATGCCGCTTTGGCGACGGCATGGCTTTGTTGAAATCCAAGACCTGTGGCATGCCAGGCATGGAGTTTTGCCGGTGCCCACGTGCAAGCGCAAGACGCGCAAGGATTTTTTGCTGATTTCTCCGGAACTCCAGGAGCTCCTGCTGGATGTTCAGGTTGACGACACCTGGTTCGCTGATCACTCCCTGCTCCTTGCTTCCTTTAGGTCCCGAACCTGCTCGTTGCCAAAGCCTGTGTGGCGGATGCCCCGACCTTTCGCTTGGCCCGAGGGGCCCCAAATGAATGATGCGGCGGCTCTGCAACCCCTAACTGGGCAGCCAGATGAGGATTACCAGGCCCTCTGGCATGACTGGGAACGGCAGGCCATCCGGGTGTGTAAAAGCCAAAGAGTCGCATTCCCTGAACCGTGCCTGTGGGCGAGCTGCCACCAAAACCGCTGTCCCTGTGAAAACTCGGCAGTGCCCTGTCCATGCTGGTCGCAATGGAGAGTGTTCACCCGGTTACTTTGGGCATGATCGCACATATGCTGCTTGGTTTCGCCAGCTGCGGCGACTCCAGTCCCTTGTGCATGCTCTTCGGAAACACTCGCCTACTGATGGGGCGGTTGAGTACAGAGCAGGCCTTTGGCATTCCATCATTTCTGCTACGGGCTTTCGTCATGGATTTCGTGCTTGGTGGCCACTACGGAAAATCAGGCAACCGTCTGATCCTGACACCTGCCCAGCCACTCTCCCAGCCTTGGACTTGGCGCAAGCCCTCCTCGATTCCTTCCAGAGAAATGTTGCGCAGTTTGAACGTGACCTTCAGCGTGACAGGAGGCAAGCAGCTGCTGCCCGACGTGCTTCCAACCCATCTGTGATCTTTCAGGATCTTAAAAAGGAGCAGGCTCAACCGGTTGATACCCTGGTCCTCAAAACGGTGGCTGTTGTGTCGGAGGTCTGTCACGAAGACTCGCATCTGAAGCTCAAGTCTGAGACTAGTTGGAGGAGTGAGCAGGGTTTCTTCCTCAATGGGCGACCGTTGGAAGTGTTCCATGCTGAACCCGATGTCGTCTGGGCTTCAACTGAGGGCGTGCAGGCTGGTGATGTGGTCAGCCAGGAACGCCCCTTGGCGTCCCTCCATGAAGTGTTCCAAGCGTTCGCTGATGAGTGGCAGAAGCGCTGGCTCCGGCATGAAAACGTTGACCCCGCTACCTGGCGGGCTCTCACTGAAGGAGTGGCGCTACCAGCCTTGCGTTCATACCCCTGGCGTCCTCTCTCTGCGGAAGAATGGATGCGTGCTGTCAGGGCAAAGCACTGCAGGTCAGCTACCGGGCCGGATGGTGTGTCAAAGCTTGACTTGCTGGCCTTAACTCCTCCGTTTGTTGACAGGCTCCTGGGCATTGTGGCCCGTGCTGAGGAGACGGGCCGATGGCCTCAACAGATGCTGAACGCCACCGTGGCCAGTGTTGAGAAGGTGCCTGAGGCTGAACAGGTCTCTCAGTTCCGGCCGATTTGTGTGCTCCCACTTCCGTACAGGACTTGGAGTTCACTCCGGGCTCGCACCGCTCTTAAGTTCCTCTCGGAGTTGGCGCCAGCGGAGCTTACAGGTGGCATGCCAGGCAAGTCAGCGACTGGTGTGTGGTATGACTTGCAGCTTGCTCTTGAGGAAGCCCATGATCTCAACAGGCCACTGGTTGGTGCACTGTTTGACCTTTCGAAAGCTTTTAATACGCTTCCCCGGACGCCCATCTTTGCGATGGCCCTGAGGCTAGGTTTTCCGGAAGCTCTCGTCCGAGCATGGAGTGGTGCCGTGACGTGTATTGCTAGGCGCTTCAAGGTCAGAGGGGCGACAGGGCCCCCAATCCTGTCGGTGACTGGGTTTCCCGAAGGATGTGCCATGTCTTGCGTGGCGATGGCTATCGTTGACCTTGCCCTGCACTGGCATGTTGCGCGAGCGGATCTTCAGCACTGCCTCACTTCCTTTGTTGACGATTGGCAGGTGCGTGAGTGCTCGCCTGCGAGGGTTCAGCTGGCTGTTGCGATGGTCACTGAGTTTGTCCGTGGGTGGGACCTCACCATGGACCCCCGTAAGACCGTGTTCTGGGCGTCCCGGGCTGATCACAGACGCCAGCTTCGCCGTCAAGGTCTACCAGTTGAGAACTCTGTTCGCAACGTTGGGGGGCATGTAAGCTTCAACCGCCGATGTACCAATGCTACTGTGCAAGCTCGGATTGAGGGCCTGGAGGGACTGTGGCCGCGACTTGCGGCCTCTTGGGCGCCTCGCAACCAGAAGGTTATGGCGCTCAAGGTCGCGGCGTGGCCTGCTGCTCTCCATGGGATTTCCGGAGTGTGCCTTAGCCTTGCCCGCTTCGCTGCCCTTCGATCTGCTGCCGTGCAAGGCCTGCGGTTGGATCGTCCAGGCCTCAATCCGATGATCTACCTGGGCATGGTGGAGTTTCCACTTGCTGACCCGCATTTCTTTGCGATCTGGAGCACCTTTCGTGATTTGCGTGTACATGCTGCGCGGGATTCCTTTGTACCGCTGTTGGCGTCCCTCTTGTCCAAAGAAGGGTCGCGAACACCTGGGCCTGCCGGGGTGTTCTTGGAGCGTGTGGCGCTCCTGGGCTGGCGCTGGGATATCCAAGCTGAAATGATTGAGGATAGCATTTCATGTTTTGACCCATGGGCCGTCTCTCCGCAGGAGCTCCTTTTCCGCCTTACCTTTGCCTGGCAGCGTGCAATTGGAGTTGAACTGGAAAAAAGAGACGGGTTCCAGGGCCTGAGCCAAGCCGACCCTGGTGAGACGCGCCGACTGCAGAAGAACTTTGCTGCGGAAGACAGGCTCAACCTTGCACTTGGCCTCAGTGGTGCTTTCTACACGCAGGATGCTCTGCACCATTTCTCTGACAATCCTGATGACGATCGTTCCTGCCGTTTCTGTGGCCAGGCCGATGGAGTCAAGCACCGGGTTTGGTATTGTCCTCATTTCCGGGAACGTTGCGGCCCTGCTTCCTTTCCAGATGTGGATGTGGCTACGTTGGCACCGGCCCAGTCGCTCCGGGGATGGGCCATGCGGCCGCGGGGAGTGCTGCAGCTCTGGAGAAAACTGGCGGCTTTGCCTGATCGCTCGGCTACTGTCCTTTGTGAGGCCCCGGCGGCCGTGGAACTTGATCTCTTTACGGACGGCTCCTGCAAGCACCCTGCTGAGCCCAATCTTCGGCTTGCCTCGTGGGCAGTGATCATAGCTGCAGTCCCTGGCACGGAGCCTATCACTGCGGCGGGTGCGGCCTTACCTGGTGTGGTGCAGACGGCCTTCCGGGCTGAAATCACGGCGGTCATTGCGGCATTCCAGTGCATGCTGCAGTGGCAGAGGCCGGCGCGAATTTGGTCGGACTGTGCAGGGGTTGTCCGCTGTGTGCTACGAATCCAGAAGGGTACCTTTCGGTGCACCCCGTCGAAGGCGAACTTTGACTTGTGGAATGCTCTGCAGGAGTTGGCACGGCGGGTCCCGCCAGGATGGACGGTCCATAAGGTGGCTGCTCATGTCGCGACAACGGATCGGGCATCGATGGTGGACGACTGGGCCTGCTGGAACAATCAAGCGGCTGACCGGGAAGCCCTGCGGACCAACATGGATCGTCCGCCTAGTTTCTGGTTGCTTTGGCGCGAGGTGTGCAGAGATCAGGCGCTACAGACCCTGCGCGGCCGTGCTGTGTTGCATCGCTTGCGAGCTATCGCGCGGGTTGCCACACAGCCGGAGGCGAAGGCTGACAATGCGGTCGAGGAGGCTCCAGCTCGGGTTCCAGCTCTTCCTGACCTTCGTCTACCGCTTCCACGTGCCCTTGAGCGATATGGAGCACCTTTTGTGCTTGCCCTTCATGCATGGTTGGGCTCTAAGATCAGACGTGACTGCCCTGGTCGATGGATCCCTTTCCTGCATTTGTACCTCTTGTTTGAGCATCAGGTTGGTATTGTGCCGCCGGTCTTTGATAAGACCACCAGGACATGGAAGACATCCCGACGAGGTGACTTTTCGGTGGGGCTTTTGGACTTACCTGAGCGAGTGCGGCTTTTTCGCCAACAGGTGCGGGCGTTGATTGCTCAAGTGGGTGGTTTCTTGCAGGCAGCTGAGGTTCGGCCGTTCTCGGCTACGCTGTTGGTGAAGCTACCCTCGGTTTATATACCTTGGTCGCAAGAGGAGTTCGATCTACTGGAGGGGCACTTCGCTTCTGCACTTGAGGAAGGTGCTTGCATCCAGAACTGTCGATCGTGGGCTTCCGTTCCTTTCATTTAGGCCCTGGCCATCAAGTGCCGTTCTGCCGTTACTGCCGAGCAGCACTGTCCCCAGAAAGGTGCAGAAAGGGTTTGGGGGTTTAGGGTTTAGCAGTTTAGGGTTTAGGGTTTAACTTACCCTGTGCTTCTAGGGACCTTCTTACTATTCGGACATTAAGGGGATCTAGGGCCCTGGTCTTTTTTGCTAGTGTCCTAACATAAACCCTGGTATAGAGTTCATAAGGGCCCTAGGGCTTCAAATTTCAAAAGCAGGGTTCGAAGGTGTTGTCTGGTAGAAGTTGTTCGTTGCTGATTGCTCAGGCCCGAAATCCCAAAGGGTCCAAGTACTAATAGCAGATAAGTACTTGGCATCAAGAGTACATACTACAGAGTACACTATTGCTTGGACCGCTTAGGCCCTAAACCTCGTAACCCTAAATTGTTCTGAGGTTTGGGAATTAGGGCTTGGCCCCGTCAGAAAAGAATCCAAGAACGACCGTCTGCTCGCTTGTCGGAACCCCGTGACCACCTTAGGTTTTAAGGTTTAGTTTAGTGTCTCGGATTAGGGGTCTCGGATATGTCGTGTTAGGGCTTAGGCTTTGCGGTTTCGTTTAAGTTTAGGGTGGGGGTTTTCAGGATACGTCATGCGAACTAGACTCTGTTATGGTTTAGGACCTTTAGGATTGGGTGAGTGGTTTGGCAAATATGCCCTCAAACCCTTAAGCAGAAATCCTGATCCCTATACCCCGAAATCCTCAACCTCTCTTGGTGTGTGTTTGTGTGTGTTTGCTTGTTTGTTTATTTGGGTGTGTACTGCTCCCTGCTTGGAGGGTCGAGGGACTTAGTAAGTAGTTATTATATAGACTTATAAGTACCTTAATAGGGACCCTAATTGGGGTTATGGTACTTATAACTCTATAAAATAACTACTTAGATTCCATCCAGAACCTTGGTGCCTCGACCGAAAGGCGGATAAGGTTAGAACTGAACAGAGCCCCAAACCCTGGAAGCCGTAAAGGCTCTACGCAAAAAAAGCACCCCAAACCCTAAACCCCAAAACCTAAACCCTAAAGGGCCTTAACCCTAAAGCGGACAGCAGAGAGGTTCACCCTGCACAAAGCTCCGAGCCTCTTCATCTTGGACCCCCAAAAGGGTTTAGGGTTTGGGTTCAGGGTATATAGGGCTTGGGAACTCGGGGTCCGCTCCAGTAAGCCGACAAGATCTCAACTTAATTCAAGCCCACAACTACTGCAGCAAAACTTTACCTTGACATTCCATTCTTGAGCCCCTAAAACTCGCCATGAAACCTGAACCAGAAACCTCCCAAAGAGTTGGACCATGGATTTAGGATGATTAGCGGTGGGATTCCGTATATTTTACCTTTTGAGGGCATGAGGAGAATGACGTTCCCAACTCTGCGGCTTCTTATTATTACAAACTCGCACCTAGCTCCTCGCAGAGGTTCATAAACAGTTATACTGTTATAAGATATACCCTAAACCCTAAACCGTAAGTAGTGTGTAATTAGAGTCGCCTAGTAGTAGGCCTTTGCTACAGTTATCCGACGCAGGCTCCAAATAGAGCCCTGAAAGGACCCGTCTGAAGCCCTTCCAGTTCCCTGAAAAGAAACCATCTAAGCACTGCGTATACTTGTAGCTACCCATGAACTTAGGGACTCCAAAACGCTTTAATTTATTAAGGAATATACTTGAGTCATATTAATCATCCCCTTGTAATTTACAAGGGGATGAGTAATGTAAGGTATGCTCCTCACGGCGATTGGGAGTCTTTGGGAACCGCCATTTAACCCCCCCCCCCTAATTCCTACACCGTCATAGAACCCTGGTATATCCCTTTTCAGCAAGCCCCATAGAATCCTTGTAGAACCCTACAGAAACCCTGTATAAGCACCCGTTTTAAGAACCTGTATAGAGCCCGTAAAGGACCCATGAACCTCCCTTACAGGACCCCTCAACTGTTATTAAAGGAATCTTAGCCCCCTTAAAGCACCTCCTAAAGGACTCTTGGCCCGAAAAAAGAGCCCCTCAAAGTCCTCAAAGGGAACCCCTTAAACCTAGTAGTAGAGTAGGTAACCTTTAACTTTTTTGGGTAGTATAGTGCCTATATAATCCCTACAACCAAAAAGGTTATCTGTAGTTCCCCATGATACCCGACAAGTAGGTAAAGGACCCACGAAGCTCCAAGTAGCCCTTCGCTCCGACTCAGATGCCCGATGGTCGGATAAAGTTGGCCCACGACTCGGTAGGGGATTTAAGGTTTAGGGTTTGGGAGTTTTTAGAGTTTAGGATTTAGAGTTTAGGGTTTTTAGGAATTAGGGCTTTTAGGGTTTCGGGTTGTAGGGGCTTAGGGTTGAGGGTTGAGGGGTTTTGGGGTTAACCGGGTTAAGGGTTGAGAGGTTTGGGTTTAGGGAGTTAGGGGTTAGGGTCAGAGACATCGCAATGACTCAACACACGGACAGGGTGACGATGCTTCCTGCCGTAGTGATAGATACTAGGTGGCAACCTGATACGTTCAAGAAATGCCTGCTTCCCACTATATAAGGTCTTCGTGCGGTAGTTTAGGACCACGGATGTCGGGGTCAAAACTACTAGTAACACTTGATGCCTCCACAGGGCGGCACTTTTTGTGGATACAGTCGCCACATTGCATTGGTTCGCAGGCAGAGCTTTTTCGCATCCCTGAACCCGAAATAAAAGGGTTCAGGTTTCTGGGTTTAGCTTAGTACTTGGGCTTCTGAGTCTTTAGAATCACCACAACATGATCATGAACCCTAAACCCTAAACCCCTAAACCCCTAAACCCTAAACCCCTAAATCCCAAACCCATCGTTGTGGACAGGGCTGACCCAGCTGAACCCAATTTCCCAACGGCGTGGCGCGAAGCGCAGAAAGGCTTCATGTTCATTGGTGACGGCAGACTGTATACAGCTCAAGGCAGTGCGTGGCTTGGGCAGAAAGAAACATTGGTTTCTCGACATCGGCTCGTCAGACACCACACAGGGTCGCGAGTTCAAGCGCATGTGGTACTCGGTTGAGTGGCTGAAGTTCATGCAACAAGAACGCCCGGACCCAAATGGGAAGAATGGTTTCTCCGAAGCACCCGCGCATTTTGTGACCGGTGTGACCAGATGGTGTGAGGAGGACGGGAGGAGCATACTCACTCTGCATGTCAATTGCAATCACGCGGAGGCAAGCAGCGTGAGGAAACGTTTTCGGTTCAACCACGCTTTGTTTTGTAAGACAGAGAGTTGGAATCAACAAGGTCATCTCCAAAAGCAGTTTTCGCACAAGTGCAAGAACTGCTTTCGAATAACTTGCAATAAAACCATCTTTTAGAAAATTTAACACTACTTCGAATAGCCGCACCCCACCCTCAGACCACGTCCAAGTGCAAGAACCGTTTTTGCACAAGTGCAACAATTGGCTTGGCATAACTTACACTAAAACAATAGCAGAATCAGTGGTAGTACTAGTTGTAGAATGCAAGTTCAGGATGTGTAAGATGGCAAAAGTACTTTTTGCAGTAACTGCAAAAATCATTCCTTCAATCATTCAGGGCCTGAGTTGTTTACCTTGACCTTGACAAGTCTATCATGGCGAAGCTAGTTGTTGCTGTGTGTAAGATGGCAAAAGTACTTTTTGCAGTAACTGCAAAAATCATTCCTTCAATCATTCAGGGCCTGAGATATTTGCCCTGACCTTGACACCTAGAACTCAATAAGGGTTTGAGATTTAGACATTAGGGTTTGAGACAACGCAAAACGAAAAGTATTACACAATAATTTATTTGGGCTCTTGCTTTTTTTAGAACAAGAAACCTCCATTCGGTTTTGTTTAAGTTTATGTAGTTTCAGTCTGAAGTATGTGATACATTTGGCCAAACATTGTAGGTGAATAATTGTCTAATGCTTAGTTCATCGAAATGGTTAAAACCATAGTTAAATGTGTTTTGTAGTATGTAAAACATTGAAACATTGTTTATCAACTTCAAACGGAAAAAAATAAAACCGTTAATCCTAATGAGAGGGGATTCTCTGGGCGGGTGGGGTTTCTTCTTGGAGATAGCTTGACAAGAAATAGCTTGGCAAGAAATTTTCAACCCCAGAGCTGCTGAACCCTAAACCCTAACCCCTTGGATTATTAAACCCCAAACCCTAAACCCCTAAACCCCTAAACCCTAAACCCCTAAACCCTAAACCCCTAAACCCCTAATACCCTAAACCCCTAATACCCTAAACCCTAAACCCTAATTTTCTAAACCCTTCGTCAGCAAACCTAGGTCAGGCCGGAGAATTGCAGCGAGCCACGTCCGGGGACCTGGATTCTCCTTGAGGCTTCAGGGTGTGGGCTTTATAAGAGGCCCTCTAATATCGGGGCCTTGAGGGTTTAGGGTTTAGGGTGTTGGGCTTAGGCTTAGGGTTTGGGGTTGGAAGGGCCGTCTAATATAGGGGCCTTTAGGGTTTAGGGTTAGGGTTTTTGGTTTAGGCTTTAGGGGGCTCTTTATGCGACGGAGTGCATCAAGAAGCCGTTGATGCTGCTGCATTTCCTGTAAACTGCTAATAATGTATTGCTAATGCTGCAGCCGGTGTTGCTATTGCTGCTTGTTGGCATTGCTCTTGCCGCGCATGTTGTTGCTGTTGGTGTATATCCTGGCGAATTGCAGGGTTTGTGTTACCCTAATGCTCAACATGGCCAAGAAGCCTTATAAAGCTTTAATATATGAGTCCTTAGAGCCTTAGGGTTAGAGTGAGTACTACAGTAACTGCAAGTTATTGGTGTTTGCTTTGAGAGCGCTTGCAGCCTCTCCAAAAAGCTCCTGGGGATGGGTTCTACTAAAGGGGCCTTAATAGTTAGAATAAGGTTTCGGGGCCCATAATACTATAATTGTAATAAGGAGCCCCCACAATAGTATAGGTAATTAAAAAGGCCCCTATATTACCCGATGCCCGTGCCAGAAACCTTGCTTCTTTCTCAACACGTCGACCATTAATGCTCCCTTATATAAGTTTAGTAGATTATCCTAAACCCTAAACCCTAAACCCTAAACCCCAAGCCCCTAAACCCCAAAACTCTATGCCAACTCTTAAGGCCCCTATAGTAATCATAATCCCAGCAGAGGACCGTCTCCTCTATTGTTGCATGGAGCTCTCAGGGTCTTGGGTTTGTGTCAAGCACGAAACTATGGGTTTCCTGTTCTGAGGTCCTAGTGCAGTTACTGTGAAGTATCACTACTTACGAAGGTAGGGGGAACAATGTTTACCAATAGAGGCCGATCGGATTCCTGAACATAGTTATACCGTTCTACTTTCAAGCAAACCTCTGTTGAAAGTATGGATTCCCCCCCCCCCCCCAATGTTACCCTGTTAGCCGAGACATGCCAGTTACCAGAGGTCTTAATCTTTCGTGAGGGGCTCTAAAGTCGTCTCATGAGGGTTTAGGGTTTAGGGTTGGGAGAACGTTCATCCGTCATCTCGACTTCGGTTCAGGTCTGCAGGCGTTTTAAGTTGCATGTAATACAGATTCAGGATACCCTAAGGGTCCATGTACCCATATAGAGGTACATGAGCCCCAAAGTACCCAAATAGGGACTACATTAAGGCCAATGTATATACTATATGAGTACATGGACCCTTAGGGATAGAAGTCCACGTGGGACAATGAAGCATGAACAGGTCGAACCTGCCCAGGCATCTTCAGCTCCTGTTTAACGAGCTCAGTCGCAAAATGGGTAGGCTGTAGGGTTTAGGGTTCAGGATTTAGGGTTCAGGATTTAGGGTTTAGGGTTCAGGATTTAGGGTTTAGGGTTCAGGATTTAGGGTTTAGGTTCAGGGTTTAGGGCTGCTTCTGTGGACTTGTAGGGTTGCATCAGTTGCGTCGCGGCTGTTCTGGCTCACAGCTGCGCTCAGTGCTACACAGCTCAGCGAGTTGTTGTTAGCGTCTTGGCCAAGTCTTAACCCTGACACCCCAACAAGTAGGACATGATAATACGGGCCCAGATCTGCAACTGGCAGGCATTAGCCCGATAACTGAAGCCCCTGGGCGTGCTTACTGGTACTGTGACTGTCGTGCTCAGAAGATGTTCGTCCGAGTTTAGTAGACACTGTCACTATAGCGGCCAGAATAACTACCAAAGCTATTTGCAGCTCCGTATCATAATTATAGTACCATAGCCAAAAACTTTGTTCTCAGTATTAAGCTCCGGTTGGACCCGTCTATGAGATCCCGCCCAAGACCCCGACTTTGTACTTACCTACCACTCTATCGATCATCGTAGTTAGGTGTGTGGAAGCTCAGCTAGGGAGCCGAACAACTGTCAGTTGAGAAATAGAGTAGAAGCCAGAAAGTTGGAACATGACTTTAGGAGGATTAGTGCTAGGATCCCTTATACTCTACCTTAAGAGCATGAGGGTAATGATGTTCCAACTTTCTGGCTTCTACTGTAATTACACATACCTTGAAGTATAGAAGGTGTCTTATTCTCTACGGTTCCCGGATCCCCAAGCCCCAAACCCTAAAGCCTGTAGACCACACACTAAACCCGGAGCCCTAAGCCCTGTACTCTATGCCGTCTACCCCCTAAACTCTCGGGGTCTCGGGGGCAGAAGATGATCCCGGCAAGATTCGGTTTGGGGCTTCGGAACCCGAGTGTCGCTTGATTCATACGGTCCTAAGGGTCCATGCAAGTCTATCAGGATTCCTTAAGGCCTTAATTTAGGGTTTAGGGTTTCAGGGTCCATGTACCCAAATTCTATATACTTTGGCATATGGCCTTCAAGTAGTCCCGATATAGGTGCTTTCGGGCCAAAGTATATACTAGAGGCGACATGGACCCTTAGGGGCGGGTTCTTATCCCCGGCTTCATTGGGGTCTAGGGTTTAGGGTTTATAGGCCTGAATTCCTGAATTGTGCGTACTGGGGTCTCTGTGAACTTGTTTGAATCAATTCGGTTTTCTGCATTTACCTCCACCACAAGAAGGAAAGTGTAGGTTACGTGGTGTTGTTCTTCGGGCGGCGGTGCTTACCATGTTTCAGACTACATCGGCACTGTTCCATCGAAGTTCATGCGACTGTAGTAGAACCCACTCCGAAACCCAGTTCAATCCGGAGAGGTCCCCATCGGCCGGTACATAATGCAGGGACGATTTATTTACAATGATTATAAGGCCCCTGTATTACTACCCCACGTTCCATGCCTGTCGTGACATTCGGGTTATCCGAGATTTGCGACTAGGATCTTCCCAACGCCTTAACCTACTGCGTCAGAATACTGCGTCAGAAGCTTCAAAAAAGCTATACGGTCGGAACAGATCCCGCCCTAAACCCTAAACCCCAACCCAAGGTGCTCGTCGTCTGAAAAGCACAGACAGTCCTTCTTCATTTTGTTTGCAAAAGATGGTGGCTCAGTTCCTGCTGGTCGCTCGGAGCACTTAGATGTTTCCGAGAGAGCCCAATACCCCTTAATCAAGGAATATAGCTTAAATCATAATATGCAGCCCTACATAATTTTAGCCAGACTCTGTAATTAAGGAGTATTGGGCTTTCTGGGTTCAGGGTTTGCAGGCATCGGGTTTGCGGTTTTCAGACATGGCACAAGGACAGTTCCAAGTGGGAAGGTAGGATGTGTTTGCCCTTGTAACTTATCTAGACTTGAAGCTATAGTAGGTCTAAGCCTAAGCACTCACTATCATTTTGCCTGCCTCATGTGAGCCATTCGTAAGGCTGCATCTACCCGCCTGAAGCTGTTTGTGATCGGATGCTTTAGTGTGTAGGGCCTTGAGTTTAGGATTTAGCTCTTTCGGGTTTGACAGAAACCTGGTACCCGAGCCCTGCTAAGCTGGAGTCCGGCATTGTGCCCCGATACAGGGACTACTTGAAGGCCAAACTATAAAATCTTTAGGCACATGGACCCTTAGGTACATGGGCCCTCAGAAGGTGAAAGATCGTTAAGCGTATCGAAGTGATTTAGATGTACACAGCCCTCCTGTGGGCTTTGTCTTCTACAGCCTGCCTTTTTTTAGTGATTCGTTTCTTTATAAATCCTTCAAAATGTCGTTGATTTACTAATTATTTACTGTTCAGGTTGAACTTAGAGGAAGAGCAGTATTCTGGGACCTCTCATCCCTTTTTAGCATGGATGGAGCCGAATATAGAACCCTGCATAAGTAGATAGCAGTACTATGCCTTAGGGTTCCGTACTAGACTTACAGTACAAAGCACCCCAACACATGACTCTAATTCCCTAAACCCTAAACCCTAAACCCCTAAACCCTAAACCCCTAAACCCCTAAACCCTAAACCCCTAAACCCTAAACCTCTAAACCCTAAGCCCTAATTCTTGTACTAGTTATTCACGCCCCCGAAAGGCCCCTCAGTTTGGACTCCTCATCGATTCGAGGGGGTGCTTGGAGGTTCATGTGTAGTTATTCGGGTTCCTTTAAGGGCCCCTTCAAAGGGATCTATAGGGATTCTATAAGGGCTTATAGGGTAGTAATTATGAGTGGGGTAAAAAGTCCCCTAATATGGGTCATAACCATAGACTATAGTTATCCTTCTTAGAACCCTACTTATAACTACCCATGAACCTCCAAGTAGGGTTTAGGGTTTCTGTATGACTATTATCATAGTTAGGTGCTTTTTTTTTTTAGGCACATGCCATAGGGAACCCGAACCACTGGGCCCCCAAATCGCCAAGTGTTGCAAGGAGCAAGGAACCCAAGGAACCCAGAGATCCATCGGCTTGGACGTCAATAGGGTTTAGGGTTTAGGGTTTAGGGTTTAGGGTTTAGGGTTAGCAGCGCGACTCCACCCGGTCTATACGGAGAGCGCGAAAAAATGTCAGGGGGCAGCGCGACTCCACCCGGTCTATACGGAGAGCGCCAACTCATGTCTGGCGGTGGCGCACCTTCTCCAAAAGATGTCCATGCAGGATGCTGGCTCAGCCCATTCTGCGACATCGCTGAAGGCAAGATCGAAAGCGATCATGAGGAAGTCGGGCATTGTTGTCCCTGCAACTTTGATATCGCCAAATATGAGGCGAATCCTGAACTTCGGCTTCCAGCAAGCACTCGAAACGGGAATTGCATCGAGCCTCATAAATGCGCTCATGCAGATAAGCGAGAGGAAGACAAACGCAAAACAGGCTGTGCTAGCTAAGCTCCGTTACAAATCTGTCATTGTCGCGGCATGATAGGGTTCAGAGCGATGCATACGATGATGACGCTGAGGTGCTGGAACGAGATAAGCAAGGCTACATTTGGCGAAGAGTTGAATACATTCCGTGTTAGTAGTATATTGGGACCCATTTGGGAAGGAGTGTCTCCGGTCAAGGCCCACCATGATTAACAGAAAGTCCCCAACTCTTCACACTGAAGCATAAAGCCTAAACCCGGATTGGGAATACATGAATGCCCTGTTAAAGGCCTTCCAGAGTAAGGCTTATAGATCCTTGGACAGGAACCCTGAAACGAACCCTGTTCTAGTAAGTATGGAACCCGAGCCCTACACCCTAAGCCCTTATAGATCCCTTAAAGGAGCCCTTAAAGGAACCCCTGAAGAAGCCCTTAAAGGAGCCCCATTCTGCAAATCCTAAAACCTAAACCCTAAACCTCTACAGCCATAATTCTAATTCTTAAGGCCCCATTCTGAAAATACCCCTAAGCCCTTATAGATCCCTTAAAGGAACCCCTGAAGAAGCCCTTAAAGGAGCCCCATTCTGCAAATCCTAAAACCTAAACCCTAAACCTCTACAGCCATAATTCTAATTCTTAAGGCCCCACCCTGAAAATACCCCTAAGCCCTTATAGATCCCTTAAAGGGGCCCCTGAAGAAGCCCTTAAAAGGAGCCCCATTCTGAAAATCCTTCTGGGCAGTTGAGTGGTCTCCTCGTCGCCCACGCTGCCCGCGTCGAGCTGCGCCATGGGGAGCAGGACTCGGCGAAGGGCTTTAGGGGTTCTAGATCCCTTTAAAGGAACTCTTATAGGGATCTATAAGGGTGCCTTTAAAGGGATCCATAGGGGTTTTAGGGGTTTAGGGTTTTAAGGTGGGTTTAAGGTTTTTAGGGGTTAGGGCCCAAGGAAACATAAAAGGGCTTAGGGTTTTAAGGTTTAGGGCTCTAGGGGTTTAGGGTTTTTAAGGTTCAGGGTTTTAGGGGTTTAGGGTTTTGAGGTTTAGGGTTTTAGGGTTTTAGGGGGGTGTAGGATTTTGAGGGGTTTAGGGCTTTAAGGTTCAGGGTTTTAGGGGTTTAAGGTTTTGAGGTTTAGGGTTTTGGGGTTTTAGGGTTTTAAGGTTTAGGGTTTTAGGGGTTTAGGGGTTTAGGGGTTTTTAGGGGTTTAGGTTTTAGGGGGTTTAGGGTTTTTACGGGTTTGAGGTTTTGGGGTTTAGGGTTTAGGGGTATTTAGGGGTTTAGGGTTTAGGGCCTTAGTTGGGGTTTTAGTTAACTATACAAGTGTAATTATCTGAGTTATGTCCCTACTTACTAAGCCCAAGATCTATTCAGCATGCTCTCAGCTTGAGAAGCCGAGGTGCCAACCCAGGAAGCACCAGAGCCCTCTCGAACTACTCTCAACCACATGCCCCCCTGAACAGGATTAAGGTTTAGGGGGCTTGTCGCTTTTGTGATTAATTGCAATTACCTTGTATATATTAATTACAGTTACCTGTATGTAAGGTGCTCCGGCACCCGCCATTGCAGAATAAGCCTCCAACTCAGTAAGTAGGATCATAAGGATGGTATCTAAACGAAATAGCAAACCCTGATATCTCCAAGCCGAGTATGATTCTCCCACTAGGTCACTAGGTCCCCTGATCCTCCAAGTATACTTGGAGGTTCATGGGTAGTTATAAGTAGGGCTACAAGTCCTCTAATATGGGTTATAAGTATAGTTATCCTACTTACAACCCTGCTTATAACTACCCATGAACCTCCAAGTAGACCCTGAATCCTAATTATACCCCAACAGAATCCCTATAGATCCCTTTAACAGGGACCCTTTAAAGGGACCCTTATCACTACCCATGAACCTCCAAGTATATTCCTCAGTTGCAGGGTCTTGCTCACTCCGAGTCGGCGGTCGCGTCGGAAGCGACGCTCCAGGATGAGGCGGTTGCAGAGCTTCGCAGGTGCCGGGGCTCTGGGTTTACTAACCAGTGGTTTTGGGGTTCCCTGGGCTCTTTAGCTCCTTATTCGGTAGGGATTATCATCATCCCTGGCTCCTTAGCTCCTCCAATATCAAAGGTTAGTTCATTTTGTGACATTCCTGCCTGGAGGCTGTTGGGTTCGGTGACAGTCCAGGATTCAGGGCGATGGAGTCTCGGTTATCAGGCCGTCGCGGGTTCCAGCTACACGTATCTTCATAAGACAAGATAATGTGTATATGTGTATATGTATATATATATATATATGTACACATATAAATATGTGTGTATATACATAACTAACTAGCTAGCTAGCTAGCTAACTAACTAACTAACTAACTAGCTAACTAACTAACTAACTAACTAACTCTCTCTCTCTCTCTCTCTCTCTCTCTCTCCCTCTCCATGCATGTATAGATATACATATGTGCACGCAGATGGCGAGATAGGAAGATAGGTAGGTAGGATATATAGATAGTTCGACAAGCGTGCAGCAATAATTGAGAGGACAGATAGGTAGATAACCCGAAAAGAAGATCATGCATGGATAGGTACAAAGATAGCTAGCCAGTTTCAGCCAGCTAGTAGCTAGCTAGCTAGATTGGCAGGTAGGCGGGTCGGTCGGTAGACAGATAGATGGCGAGATAGCTAGATATATAGATAGTCAGAAAGATGGCTGGATGGATGGAAAGATAGGTAGAAAGCTAGATGGCAGATATTAGATAGAAGGTATCTAAAGTATAGATAATAGATAGATAGATAGATAGGTGGACAGACTAGCTTTCAGTAGATAACAGACCGCTAGGCAGGCAGGCAGGCAGGCAGGTAGGTAGGTAGGTCGGTAGATAGATAGACAGGTGCACAGGTAGACAGATAAACGCACGCGCATTCATTGAGTTGCTTGTTTCGGGACCAGTTTCCTGCATGTGCCCCAGCTCACCCAAAGTCACATGGGGACTCCGTGTCAAATGGGATCCGAAAATAGGGTACCCCAATATAGTAGCCTAAATAGTGGGATCCTTATTATAAGGGCCCCAAACAAGGCACCCCTCTAAACCCTAAACCCTTTATAGAACCCTTATGGATCCCTTTGAAGGAACCCTTTAAAGGAACCCCTAATTTTCGGAAACAGCCCCATTTCAGCATCGGAGATCCGAAGTCTAAAGTAAAAGAGTTGGCCCTGGCATGCCCGACATTTGGGAGTTTCCGAAAATTATAGTGAACCCCAGAAAGTTGGAACATCGATTTAGGATGATTCATGCTGGGATTCCCTTTACTTTACTTTAAAGTCATGAGGCTACTGATGTTCCAACTTTCTGGCTTCTACTGTAGGGATTCCTTTAAAGGGTTCCTTTAAAGGGATCTACAAGAGTTCTATAAAGGGTTTAGGGTTTAGAGTTTCCGAAAATTAGGGGTTCCTTTAAAGGGATCCTTCGAAGGGATCTACAAGAAAGAGTTCTATAAAGGGTTTAGGGTTTAGAGTTTCCGAAAATTAGGGGTTCCTTTAAAGGGATCCTTCGAAGGGATCTCCAAGACTTCTATCAAGGGTTTAGGGTTTAGAGTTTCCGAAAATTGGGGGGGTACCTTATTTCGGGGGTCGTTATAATGAGGGTCCTACTCGGAAACTCCCAAATAGGAGTCTGCACCAGTTCGAAGTGTTGTTGATGATATAAATCCTGCATTACCTTAAGAACTGTAAACCCTGGGAATAATGGTATATTCCTTATTATGGAAAATGCAGGATTGATGTCATCAGCCGTACTATTGTAAGATATCATACACCCCCCAAGCCCTGTTCCCATTATGTGACAGAGGAGTTCTGTCATTTTCTGACCGGAATAGCTGCATGTGTGGCATGTGACATCATGTGTGTTTCTTCTTTCTCTTGTCGAATTCGAGGCGGCCGTGGATAAGCCTCAGGAATTGGTAGAGGAGCTGAGAAAGCGCCGCAAGAGAGAGGTAAGCATCGAGTGGCACCGGAAGTACGTGAAGAAGGGTGTGCTCCGAGACCAGAACAAATCCAGAGCTTCCCCACCGGAATCCGCTCCAGACGATGCGAAGCCGGACGATGCGAAGCCGAGCGATGCGAAGCCGGACGATGCCGTGAGCAGGGACTTCAGGCCAGCCTTCCTCGGCAGTGCTGACCCGCCAGACGCAGTTTCGCAGGGCCCTTGTCAGTCGCCAAGCTCTGAACACGAGCCAGCAGCCTGCTGGCGAACCCTAACCTGCCTAACCTCGAATCCCCAAGCCTCCCCCTAAAATCCATCATGTAAACTCGAACCCTAAGGCTCTACTTGGAGGTTCATGGGTAGTCATAAGTAAGGCGTACTGTTTATGAGTTGGGTACTTAACAAACCGTACCTGTAACTACCCATGACCCTTCAAGGAATCCCTATGTACGCTGTACCAAAGCTGGACCCAACAATTAGGTACTCGGTTTTAGGATAGTATTATGCAGGTTAGGATTTTGTAGCGTGTATGATTATTAGGTACTTGGAAGCTTGGGATTTTTGTCCCAGACGGGCCCGACCATGAACCCGGAGGTATCGTGCCCTCGACGAGAGTGAGTTCCAGCGGTTCATGGCAGGCTTCGATTCTCTGGAGTCCTATGTAGAATCCTATAAGGTAATCCCAAAGAGGAACTACTATGGAGCCTATGGGTAGGGTCTAGGTTTCAGGGTGTGGGGTTTAGGGTTGAGGGGGTTAGGGTTTAGAGTTTAGGGTTCTTTTGGGGCGGGGGCTCGGAGGATGGGACGGTATCATGGTGATCGGTTCATGGCGAAGGGTAATCTTCCACTTGGGTCCTCAAAGGGTCTATAGTGAACCCCGGAAAGTTGGAACATGGATTTAGGATGATTCATGCTGGGATTCCCTTTATTTTTCTTACCTCAAGGGCATGAGGCTGATGATGTTCCAACTTTCTGGCTTCTACTGTAGGGCCCTTCAAGCACAGGCTTAGTCAGGGAACCTTCTAGTCTCCCGGGTTTATGAACTTACTATTTGATAGTGTGCCCTAAACCCTAAACCGGGCTTATGAACTTACTATCTGCTACAGGGTTTAGGGATTAAAGTTTAGGGATTCAGGGTTGAGGGATTTAGGGTTTAGGGGGTTAGGGGTATCGCCACCCGAAGAGGTTGGAAGCATGTGCAGGCCTCGTTGGAGCTTACAGCGCCTATGCCCAACCCTAGGGCCGGTTCAGAGTCTTACCTTTGGTTAGTAGGGAATAGAAGAATGGTAGTAATACGGTTGATGATATAAATCCTGCATTACCTTCAGGACCCTAAACTATGGGAATTATGGTATATTCCTTATTATGGGTCATGCAGGATTTATATCATCAACCGTAGTAGTTATAGTTGTACCCCATTCCTCCATTCCCTGCTAACCCAAGGTAGGGAGCCCCACTGCAGCCGTTAATGTGGGAGTTTCCGAGAGTAGGGGACCCTAATATAGCACCCTAAATAGTAGGATCCTTATTGTAAGGACCCCAAAATAAGGTACCCTTAATTTTCGGAATTCCCCATGTGAATCGTTGAAAGTTGGAACATAGATTCAGGATGATTCTTGCCGGGATTCCCTATACTTCACTTTAATGGCAGGAGGCAAATGATGTTCCAACTTTCTGGCTTCTAATGTAATATGTTTCAAGTGTTGGATATAAGATGTCCCTGTCTGTCACATCTGGTAGTTTCCGAGAATTGGGGGTACCTTATTTTGGGGATCCTTCTAAGGATCGTACTATTTAAGGTGCTATATTCGGGTCCCCCATTTTCGGAAGCTCCCATCTAGTTACGGTGTGAGGTAGAGCGGCATACTAAATGGCTGCTAGCGACGCATAGCTCACCACGATTAGCAAACGAGCATGGCTTGCTTGAATTCATGCTCCGGCTGTGACGTACTGTTGATGATATAAATCTTGCATGACCCATAATAAGGAATATACCATAATTGCCATAGTTTAGGGTCCTTAAGGTAATGCAGGATTTATAACATCAACCCGTAGCACCCTAAAGCCATAGAATCCTTCAGATCATGCCGTGCAGTGTGCAGCGGGTTACTAAACCTGCACACCCTGAGCCCTATGTAAAACCCTAAACCCAAACTTGAAGTTTACCAAGGTGGCTCTCCCGTAGGAGTCGGAATACTTGGCAGGTTTATCACTTATAAATCCACATACAGCTTTACAATAAGATCGACCAAGGCCCTGTCCTCATATTATTCAAACTCTGAAACTTGGGTTGCAGACACTAAAAAATCCATGACATCCAGGAATACAGTATAGTTGTATAACACAGTACTCCATGAAAGAACAGTCGAGGGATCCCTCATATCATACCGCCGGTCAGCGACTTCCTGCACTACTCGAAGTATCTCTCTACAGTGGAGATGATTTCGCTGCAGTCTTCATGGTGGGTAAAGTAGGCCTCGGTAAATCAACATAAATGCAGAGGTCGGCATAAGAAGTCTTAGTATGTCGTCCCATTTCAAGTATAGTATGATTGTAGAAAAACCCCTAAAGGCCGCCCAAGACCCCTACACTACTTTAACCTTTGGGCCTGTGGTGGAAACAGTTCTTCGCGACACGGAGAAGATCACGGATGCCTTGGGGCTGGGAATTGCTGGCTGCGGCTTCATGTAAACAGAACCTTAGGTGCGAGTTTAGAACTAAGTCTTAAGTATTTAGAGGACACAGATATGTTCAGTTATGATGTTGATACGGTGTGGTTCCCCGAAACCTTAAACACATAGAGGCAAAGCCTTTCCCAGTAAATCCGAGAATCCGTCAGCTTTCAATCTGTGCAGAGCAGGCTGAAGGTTGACCTGCACGTACTATTCAGTATTAATGCAATGCATTCTGTGCCTACTGTAACCCTAAGGGTCCATGTACCCATCTAGCATATACTTCGGGCCCAATGACCCGTATAGGGAATACTTTAAGGCCAATGTGTATACGATATTTGTACATGGACCCTTAGGGTAACACGATTAATACTTTTGGTACTGTTTGCACTACATTATTCTTGATGCCTGAACACTGAGCCTCATCTGAACCCAATGACCTGGGTTGAAGTCCAAGCAAGCCCAGCACCCAACCCTGAAATCTCAAATAACTCCCTGTATGCCCTAAACCCTACACCCGACATGCCCGACACCCTCGGCCGTGAAGCCTAAACCTGAAACCCTGCCAGAGCCCCCCGAGTCTTGGGGAGGCGAAAACCCTACAGCCCTTATCGTATCCTTACAGTAGCCCTCGTAGTAGCCCTTATAGAACCCCTTCTAGAATCCTTATAGAGGTCCTTAAAGTATCCTTACAGTAGCCCCAATAGTAGCCCTTACAGAACCCTTATATTATCCTTATAGCAGCCCTAGTACTAGCCCTTATGGAACCCCTTATAGAATCCTTACAGTACAGAACCCCCTTATAGTATCCTTGCAGTAGTAGCCGCAATAGTAGCCCCTACAGAACCCCTTACAGAATCCTAATGGAACCCTGTTTCCTTCGGGAACCCCTTTCAGAATCCTAATAGAACCCCTTATAGTATCGTCATAGCAGCCCTAATAGTAGCCCTTATGGGAACCCTATCTTCGACTCGGGGAGGCGAAAACCTGTCGCTTGTTTCGGCCGGCTTCCGAGCCTCCTGGACGGAAGGATTTCATGAGGATCGCGGTTTAGGGTTTAGGAGGGTTAAGGGTTAAGGGTTTAGGGTTTAGGGCTTAGGGTTTAGGGTTGGTTGGTTCTTGAGGGTGTTGGATTTAGGTACGGTTTGGGGTTCTCATTGTTTGGGGGTGTACGGCGGATTGGGATATAGGTGGGCCCGGGTTACTACGATCAGGGAGTGTAGGCAGTTCATGCTAATTCAGGCTAAGGGCCGGGCCATGATCCTGTCTTGATTTGGTATAATTTTGGGGTTGGTGAACTTGGATGTTCGGGTGAAAGGTGGATCGTCAGGGGTGGTTGCTTGGAGGTTCATGGGTAGTTATAAGTAGGGTTATAAGTAGGATTCTTCTAACCCATATCAGGGGACTCATAGCCCTACTTATAACTACCCATGAACCTTCAAGTGGGGTTGACGGAGACTGTAGATCCGGAATAACACGTCTCGTTCTCTAGGGGCCTTATACAGTGGCCCCAGTAAAAGAACACCTATCGGAATATTTGTTCGCAAGGGGCTTAACAAGCCCGAAGCCCCACCCGCTCGAGATCATTCGAAGTTTGCTTCCAACCCTGTAAGAGCAGTTGCTCAGAGTAAGGTGGGGGGGGTTAATAATCAGTAATAATATTCGCTTATAGTCTGTAGCATTGTCATAGTCCTACAGTGTAATAATAATATGCTCCAAAACAATGTTGCAGTGACTCAGGCTCCTGTATTAGGTCCGCCTCATGGATTTTAGCGTTTCTGGTGGCTTAGAGGTCCTGCAGATCAGGTCGAAAAAGCCGACAATCTTAAAACTTTCCCTAAACCCCTAAACTTGATTCCGAGGAAGATGACACAGACATCGAATTGCCGTCGCAGTGGCAATCGAAATTGTCCGTGATCAAGAAGCTGGGCGAGGGCTCCTTCGGGAAGGTGCGCTCTTGTCGATTGCTTTTTTTTTTTTGTTGTGTGTGTGTGTGTGTGTTCAGTGTTTAAGGTTTCTTTGCCCTAAACCCTAAGCCCCAAAAGTTGTGACTTGTGTTCTGGAGCACTCCGGGTGCGCCGGACTTTGGGTTTCAGAGGTGTTTACATGCGAGGGAGTCGTTTTAGGGTCTAGGGTCTAGGGAGGGGTGGGGTTTAGGGTTTAGGGTGGGGGGTCGAGCATTAGTGGGCGTAGAAGTCCTTTAATTCAGGTTATAACTACAAGGTAGGGCTTTGGCTTTGAGACATCTTATCTTTGCTCTTATTGGGAATAAGAGGATCCTACCTACTAATGAGGTTTCCCGGCTGTAGTGCGGGTGCATATTTTGAGCTCACGTCCCCTGAATTCCCAAAGGGTCCAAGGAATAGTAAAGTACATATTAGAAGCTGCCCCCACCCTGTAAGAGTGGTATAATAGGAATATAATAGGGCCCTAGTATCATCCTAATAGTCACTATTACAGGGTGGGGGCAGCTTCTAAAGTACATATTTCTGAGTCTTCAGGTCCATAAGTGGCTGCGTGGAGGCTATATTGGTACTTGGACCCTTCCGGGATTTGCACATGATCACCGCAGCGACGTCATTCTCATAGGCACTAACACCGTGGTGCTGAATCGGAAGCATGCTGGTCCTCTCTCTGAATCCGTCAGTGCATGGAACAAGCCGTCTTGTGGCCACACAGTACATGCTCAGAAGCTCTGCGAGACATACAAGGACCATGGAGGGTTGTGTCTGCATCCAATGTTATCGGGGCCTTAACAATTAGAGTGAAGTTTTGGGGCCCCATTCTATACACTACCATGACCTACTTTTTTGTGGTCTAGGCATATCCTGAAGGTCTTCTGATCGCTCCTAGGTAGTTCGCGTTAGTCCGGTTGGTCCGGGTAGTTGCCATCTTCGTCGTCGTGGTTGTTGTTTAACCACATGCCTGCCTTCATTCATTCACGCACCTCGTAGAAGCGTCTCGCGCTGCAGGTAAGAATCAAAAACATGCAGAAGGAATTAACATGCCTGCCTTACCAACCTTTGACCTTGAAAGCGTGAGGTCTTTCAATGCAGGGTGCTCTGCGAGACATACAAGGACCACGGAGGGTTGTGTCTGCATCCAATATTATCGGGGCCTTAACAATTAGAGTGAAGTTTTGGGGCCCCATTCTACTACAATGATTATGAGGAGCCCCCAAAATAGTATCGGTAATTATTACCTTACACTACCATGACCTATTTTTTGTAGGCTCTTATTCTAAATCCTAATATGGATCCTATAGGGACCCTACAAAAAAGTAGGTTTTGGTAGGTCAAGGTAGGCCGTCCAAAAATAGTGGTACCTTATTTTGGGGTCCTTATAGCAAGGATCCTACTATTGAAGCCCAAATACTTAAATTACCAAGAGTATTGTTAGGGTTCCTTATTATGTAAAGGAACCCCAAACCGCTATTCTAAATATTAAGGCCGCTGCGTTACCAACACGCCCGAGTTGGAAGTTGATGATATTTAGGGACCCCCAAAGGACATCAGCATAAGCATTTTGTAGAGATATCCCTGCCTTATTGGGCCTTCATTATAAAGAGGGGTTTATATGGGATATCTATGTGCTTTTCTGGACCAGATATACTCCAACATCCTGTTTTAATTGTTAAAGCCCGTATTTTAGTTTAAGCTACCCTACCATAATATGAAAACCATATACTCCATATTATGGACTGCGATGCATTGATTTTCCATATGATGGGCTGTAATTATTAGTAGGGAATGCGGGAAGTGGCTAGTGGCTACGGGACAATTTTCAGGAACAAGAATGGAGACCATTGCTACACCACGAACAGGTTGAGAGTCAACGTGGTTAGAACACCAGGGAGCAGTGCGGTGGCTTGACGGTTACGGCCCTACTATGCTTAGCACTGTCGGAATTTTGTTTCCAAGCTTTGCTAGACCTTCAAACCTAAACCCCTACACCATCCTAAACCCTTCACCCCAAAACCCCTAACACCCTAAACCCTTCAACCCTAAACCCCTTAACTCTAACCCCACAATCCCTTAGCTCCTAAAGCCTCGGTGAGAAGGAGATCTATGTGTCTGTCAAGCTCATCGTGAAGAAGGAGCCCATTGTGAGGCCGCACACCCGGTGTATTTGGGGTTTTGGGGTTTCGGGTTTAGGGCCTGAGGGTTTAGGGTTTCTGGCTTTGGGTTCACGTCTTCAGGAGTCTAGCCATTTTGTTGAAGGGGTTGCTAGAGAGCGGCCTTGGGATCCTGGGCTCCGACATGCCTCCTAAGAGAAAGCCGACCAGAAAGACCACGTCCAAGCGCAAGATGTTCAGCAAGATGAAGAAGCCGAGCCAAAGGAAGAAAAAGGCTGGATCGGCTGCCACCTCGACTACGAGTTCGCCCGAGGCTTTTAACTTTAGCTTGGTCTATGCGGATGCTGCGGGCAAGAACAGCAGTCACTATCGAAAGCTCATCTTGCGACTTGCTGATGAGAACGGTGAAATCCGCGACATTTTTGCCGCCAGAGAAGTCTGCAGCCAAGACGCCTTCAGCCCCAAGACCCCCCCAGCAGCTAAATCCACAGACCCTAGGATGCCCAGTAGTACCCTTATTCCCTTTTGTAGTCCTAGGTTCCTTATAAAAGTTACCCAATACCCAAAAAGCGAGGGCGTTTTCATTCTTAGGTTACTGGGTATCCTAGACAACCCTAAACCCTAAACCCCTCATAATATGAAGCCCTATATAATTTAAGCCATATTCCTTAATTAAGGGGTATTGGGCTCTCTGGGTAAACCCCCAGACCCTAAATTCTACACAACCCTAAACCCTAAACCCCTCTGCGCCCCCAAATGCAGCGCCTGGGGCCTGGGCTTTCTACGGGTGAGCTACTGACCAAGACGGAGGAAGCCAGGTGGATTTTAGGGGTTTAGGGTTTAGGGGTTTAGAGTTTAGGGGTTTAGGGGCTAGGAGTTTAGAGTTTAGGGTTTAGGGTTTAAAGGTTTATAGGGGCTTAGGCTTAGGGGGAGCCTTGCTTGGAGGTTCATGGGTATATAGGAACCTCATTAAGAAACCTTGGGTCTTTATTATATAGGCTTCCTTATGTGAATCCTATTATTTTGGAGTTATAGGCCCAGGGTTTCTTAATCAGGTTCCTCCAGTATGCTTTCCAGCTTTGATTAGAGAGCCTCGGGGTCTACTTGGAGGTTCATGGGTAGTTATAAGTCCCCTAATATGGGATATAACTATAGTTATCCCACTTGTGACCCTACTTAACACTACCCATGAACCTCCAAGTAGATCCTAAACCCGATACCCTTATAGAATCCCCATAGATCCCTTTAAAGGGATCCCTAAAGGAACCCTTATAATTGCCCATGAACCTCCAAGTATGAGTTCCAGCTTTGATTAGAGGGGCTCGGGGTTCGGGTTATGCCAGCATAGAGTCGAAGAGCTGGAAAATGGACCCAATAGTTAGGTATTCGGTTTTAGGACTTAGGATTTTAGGGTAGTAGCTATGTAGGTTAGGATTTGGGAGGGTGTATGATTATAAGGTACTTGGATCCTGGGGGTTAAAGGGTGTGAAGTCTACATACTTGTGTAGACTGAAAGGTTCCCTGATTCCTGCTTTGGGCCTTCTGGTAGAACCTTTACTGAAAGGATCCCTCCCCTCCATATCCCGCAAAATCCTAAACTTCTAAACCCTGAACCGTAAACCCATGCATGACAGCCCCGGCCAGGAAGGAAATCCAGGTCTTGGAGGGCATGCGCGGTGTCTCAGACTACTGCATTTCGGCTGTTGGTGAGCCGCCATTCATCGACAACCGCGATGGCTATTGGATTATGCCACTTTGGCCATGTGTTGGTTCTAGTAGTCAAGTAGTCTACTGATCTTATATGGATTCGCTCTGCTGGCTTATGAGCTTTAGATGTCTAGGTAAAAGCGACATCACCGACCTAAGCCGATCTCCTCTCCCTGTGGTCTCTGCGCAAGCCAGTAGCCATGGCACCGTACCCAACACGCGCTTTTTCTGACTGTGAAACTTATGGTTCAACACAATCCGGGTGTGAGTCATGTCCCGCAGTCTGAACTATCCCCAGATGCTCTTTGAGGCCGCATCGGGCCAGGCTGTTTGGTCAGCTAGCCCTGTGCCTTCCAGCACTTGAGGCACTAAACTCCTGAGCTTACACACACACACATACTTATATAATTACATATATTGCCCCCCCCCCCCCAAAGTATACACCATCACTTGGACCCTTTGGGTGCCTCAAGCAAGAGTCCTATCGAGGACATCCTCAAAGAGGGCTCGGGTACAAAGGATTAGGGTTTGAGTTTAGGATTTTGGGTTTAGGATTTTGGGTTTAGGGTTTGGGTGTAGGGTTTAGGGTTAAGCGTTAGTGTTGGGTACTTAGAAGAGTATTCAATGGTTTCGCCCCCAAGCTCAGGACTCTTATGCAGCCTGATAAAACTGTAGAGGTCCCAACAGAATCTGTATAGCTGCATTCCAAATGTGGGCAGTTCGGCTGAAGCCGCAGTTGCAGGGGCTTGGCGCTCAGCATGTGATACCCTAAGGGTCCATGTACCCAACTACTATGGACTTTGCCCCCCAAAGTGTCTATCTAGGGACGACTTTAAGGCCAAAGCATATACTGTTTGACTCCTCGGACGCTTAGGGATAGCTGTTGCCCTACGGTTGATGATATAAATCCTGCATGACCCATAATAAGGAGTATACCATTATTCCCATGGTTTAAGGTCCTTAAGGTCATGCAGGATTTATATCATCAACCGTGCTATTCGATACTAAACCCTAAACCGTACTATTCGATAGCCGTTGCCTGGATCATCCTTTGGGTTGATCACCCGTTCTCTACACCGGCCCTTCCCAACGACGTCAAAGCCTAGCTGGGTATCTATATGTACATGTGTATATATATATATATATAAGTATGTGGTATGTAATTCACACTGTATCATAATGTAGCATAAGTTATTCTACGGTGTTTGTAATATGACATTATTGGGTACGTCATACGCTGTTTTATACGCTGCAGTTCTCAGAGGAGTCGCCTGCATACCCTGTTGTCGGCTAAAGTCTCCTCCGAAACAATCACCCCTAAATCCTAAACACCCTAAACTGAAAGCCCTGAACCCTAACAGTAACAACCCTCTTCGAGGATGCCATACATGAACGGCGGGGAGCTTCACGACTTCCTGGCAAAGTGTCGCAGAAATGGGGCATGCATCCAGGGGGACCGCGAAGGCTTCATGGTCCGGGGCTTTAGGGTTCGGGACCCAAAAGGCACATGAGCATAAGCATTTTTCTAGGGATATCCCTACCTTTATTGGGCTTCATTATAAGGGGGTTTATATGGGATATCCCTATCCTAAGTTTTGCTCATGTGCTTTTTGGGGCCCTATAGGGCTTCTCTAAAACCCTAAAACTGAAAGTACGAAGTATAAAGGCCCCAAGCACTAGTGAAGGCCATGATTCTGCATACTTCTAGCGTTCAGGACAGGTTTATGGATTACGGGGTTTAGACTTCAGGAGACCTCTCAGTACAGGGGCTTAGGTCTTAAGGTTGACGCTGGTGGTTCTGAGCAGAGCATAACTACAGAGCCATACAGCCTGGAGCTGATGATCCCTACCCCCACAAAGCCAAATCGTGGGGTACCTTATTTTGTGGGCCTTATAATAAGGATCCTACCACTTAGGGTGCTGTATTAGAGTCCCCTATTTTCGAAAAAAACTAATTGAGTTTCGTTAGGATTTAGGGTTTAGGGTTTAGACTCTGTTTTCGTCCACCCGTGACTTTGCAGAGTTTAGGGCACTCAGAGGCTCCAGGTGTACTACTTTTGTGGGTTTCGGGTTTACTGAAGTTCAGTGTGCTGGGTGCCAAGAGCCTAAATCCTGAAACCACCCTACCCCCAGCCTCACGCAGCCTCTCTAACATCCTTACAAGCTCCTGGAAGCCCAGATCATTCGATATCCTTCCAGCAGCTCGCAGTCCCCAATCATACTTGCCTTTGGGATTGCTTTTTTCTTCGTCTATACGACAGTACAGGTTGGGCTGTAGGCCTTACCCTGAACTCTGAAGCCCTAAACCCTCTTAGGCTTTTGGCCTTGCCCTGAACCCTAAACCCCTAGACAATCTCAGGCTTGCTGGCTTTGCCCTAGGCCCCAAACCCAAACCCCTCAACCCTCGTAGATGTTTGGCCTGACCCTAAACCCCTAAACCCTCTTAGGCTTTTGCGGTCTGGCTTGGCTTGTGGCTTAAGACTTCGCAACCTGGTTCTGGCCTCCTGTGATTCTTGACGGGCATATTAATAAGTGTACATATTTTTATACACAGACATACATGTATATATATATATATATATGCACACACACTATATATATATATATATATACAAATATCTATATATATATATACAGCATATATATATATATATATGTTACATACACACTACATATACACATACACACATACATACTGCACTTCTACAAGGATAGGTAGGTCGGTAGATGGTAGTTAGTAGTTAGATAGATAGATAGATATATAGAAGGTCCTTGTGGCAATTTGGGTCCGACACAAGTTGCACGTCATCTATCTGTGGCACCTTGCGCCCCCCAGAAACCATCCTTTGCCCTCGACCCTTGTGTGCAGTACAGCGCGCAGGCCGCAAAGACTGGACGCAAGTGGACCCTGTTTTCACCACGTCACCCGGCCAGATTCGTCAGCTGTGTTTCATAAGCAGACGACACGAAGATGTCGAGCATGCTTGTCTTACCTTTGGTTAGTAGGGAATGGAAGAATGGTAGCAACAGTAGTTATAATTGTACCCCATTCCTCCATTCCCTACTAACGAAAGGTAAGTTGTGGCAAAAGCTCGAACCAGCCAGGCACTCGAACAGTTGGGCTCAGGTCCTACCTCCTCGGACTCTTCCACGACATGGTTGCAGGGGTGCAGGCTTGGAGCTAAGGGCTGGATGGCACGGTTTAGGGTTTAGGGTTCAGGGCTTTTGTACAACTTTCCGGGGCCATGCACGAGGATGTCGATTCTGGGTGCACCCAAACAAAGGCCGGTAGCTTTTTCCCCCGAGGCTCTCCACGAGAAAGCGGGACTGCTCCACATCGATCTCAAGCCAGCCAACGTCATGCTGAACTGTGAGTGGGGGAACAAGCGGCCCAGCAGCAGGTTCAGGGTTTAGGGAGCATTGCGAGCAGCTGAAGAGTGATTAGTTAGGCACCAAATCCGTAACCGGCCTTGGAGTGGTCTCTAGGTAGGTACTTTGGGGCGAAAGTAAAATACTATTTCGGTACATAGACCCTTAAGGTTCGAACCCAAATCCTCAGCCGTTGCATTCCACGTTCCTAAGATTCCCTTGCTAGGGTTTAGGGTTTGTGGGAACTCGGAGTTGGGCTTGACTTGGGGCGGCTGAGCTTCTAAGCTCCTTCATGGCACGCTCAGGGCCCAGGCTACACAGTATATAGCTTGGGTTTGATAACGTTTGGAGCGCAAGCCTGAGTGTTTAATGTTCAGCGCTTGGCATGTGAACAAAGCTTGTCAGCACAAGCCTACCCAGAACGGCACCCCCAAGTAAACACTCACCAATGGCCCGAACGGGCCCTGCTTGCATTCACTGACCTTCCATGCGCTTTCGGGCTTTGGGTGCAGGGGCTGCTGGCGAGTCGAATGATGCATGGAAGCTCAGCCTAGACGCCTAGAGCTTCATGGGTGAACCTGCAACCTTTTTGGGAGTACCTTATAGGATTCTATATATGAAGCCCAAAAAGGAACTACTTTGGGGCCTTTGGGTAGGGCCGACTACACGTCAAGAGCCCCTTCTCTCTCGAAGCCGAAGCCGACAGCACACACACCCAAGCGCGCGATCTTTGCCGTATGTATATGTACATATGTTCATATTTGCATATACATATATATATATATGATGCATATATACATATATGCACATATATATATATATATATATATATATATATATATGTAACAGAAAATGTACATACGTACAAACATGCATGCATGCTGCATACATACATACAGATGTTCCATAGGGCTCCTTTCAAACTTGTAGTACAGCGGCAGCGCCGCTTCAGAAACAGTTAAGTCTTTGAGCGGGGGGAACCCGCGATTCCTGAATCCTTAAGCACATCACAAAGTCGTTTCCGGATCTGAGGGTGGCCCAACCACCCTCATGTCTAGTTTGAGGGGGCTCGACAAGTAGCCAGTCAGAACCCCGAAAAAATCAGGCGCACTCAAGAACGTCCCGGGCATGATAATGTATCCCAAGTTCAATGGTTGAGACCCCTATACGATGCCCATATATAGCAACCCGTAGGTATTAAAGGCACTCTTTTCGAACTGCTAAGGCCAGATTCTTACGCCCCAAACCGTAACCCCTAAACCCGATAAGCCCTAATCCTTAAACTCAAGAAACTTTAAACCCTAAACCCTTAAACCCTAGACTCTAAACCCCTAAACCCTACCTTAACCCCCAAAAAAACTACCTTTTCATGGACTTATATAAGGAAACCATATTAGGGAACCCCCAAAGGGGTAGGTTCAGGTCCAGGTAGCGCCTATATTACCAAGGTGCTTCGCGGCGGTGATCGACCTCGGCCTGGCTTGCGATCCAACGACAGACGGGGCTCCACCTAAAAGGGTTTAGGGTTTTTGGTTTTTAAGGGTTTACGGTTTAGGGTTTGGGGTTCAGGGTTTAGGGTTTAGGGTTTAGGGTTTGGGGTTTAGGGTTTAGGGTTTGGGGTTTAGGGTTTGGGGTTTAGGGTTTGGGGGTTAGGGTTTAGGGTTTAGGGTTTAGGGTTTGGGGTTTAGGGTTTGGGGTTTAGGGTTTGGGGGTTAGGGTTTAGGGTTTAGGGTTTAGGGTTTAGGGTTTGGGGTTTAGGGGTTAGGGTTTAAGGTTTGGGGTTTCGGGTACTTAGGGCTTTGGGTTCAGGGCTGGACTGTGACCGCTACATCACGATACACACCGCCGTGAAGGCGGAGGTTAGGGCTTAAGGTTTAGGGTTTAAGGTATTTGGTTTCAGGGTTTATATATGAGTTTAGGTTGCGGCCTTACGGTTTAGTTTAGGGTTCAGGGTTTGGCAGGATTTCGGGACTGCAGATTTGGAGGTAAAGCTCTTACAAGCCGTTGCAGACATGCGGCTTAGGTACATGAGTGTGTACGGTGTGTTTTCTTTACCTTGGAGAAAGACGCCGCAGCTCCGAATGTGCAAGAAGTCGAAGCCCAAGTAGTGCGCGAGCTAACAAAATCGCAACTGTTTTCCCTGCCACAGCTACCGAACGCCACAACCCTTGCCATTGCAGCAACAGTAGCACGATTTGGTGCCACGATGGTTGCGAATCGCGACAGTGTTTGTTACTCGTGTGTTCTGGAAGCCAGTCGTTCTCAGTGTCATGGTGTCGAAATTGGCGATCTACACTGATGCTACAGGCATCAAGCCTAGTCATGAAGAGGACTCTAAACGTCAGTTGGATTATCGTTGGAGTGGCTTCTCAGTGTTTCAGATGTCTGATCCGGCTGACTTTGAGCGGCTGCAACCCGAAACCCTGAACCTTAAACCCTAGACCTTAACATCCTTCAACCCTAAACCTAAAACCCTAAACCCCAAGCCCCCCGGTCGCAACCCTAAACCTTAAACCTTAGAAACCCTGTCAACCCCAAACCCCAAACCATAGACGTGAATGCGGGAGCCCCGAATGCGCCCGCAGCATCCGAACCTCATATCGGGGCCTAAATGATTACCTCTACCATTTTGGGGGTTCCTCATTATAAGTGTAGTATAATGGGGCCCAAAACCCTAGTCTAATTTTAAGGCCCCCCATATTTGGCATCCTGCCTGAAGCACTTACGTCACTGAAGGCGCAATCGTCGAAGCCGCGACAGGAACCTGTATGTAATATAGGGGTGGTGTCTTGGGCTGTGAGGGTTTGGACCGGGCTTACTCTCATGCATGAATCTCGTGCCCCTGAAGGAAATCCGGCTGTGGAGGAGCCGGGACGCCTTTATACATTCCTAGAGAGGCCTGACTTCGGGTAAGGGTTTGCGGGTTAGGCTTTGGGGTTTAACTTAATCCGGGTCGCGGGTTTGTAGGATTCGGCGCCTGGGGCAACTTTTAGGTTGAGGCGTTGGGCATGTGGTTTGAGGGCATCCAGAAGTTTGTGTTTTGAGGTAGGAGGGTCCCCTAAACCCTCAATCCTAAACCGTGGCCCGGTTCCACAGTTTGCAGGGCTCGCGATCCTCGATTCGCTTTTCGGCCGTCGGATCTTTCCGACCATGTCCCTTGACAACACCCGAAGAAAACGCGCTCTACTACTAAACAGAGGCTGGCGGCCTTGGCAGATGACACTAGAAAGCCTAAACACCTAAGACTTAACACTGAACGATGCATTTAACTATGTGAGCTTATGATCAATGATCAATGCAGTTTCCCTAAGGGTCCACGAACCCAAATGGCACATACGTTGGCCTTAAAGTAGGTAGGCCGTATATAGGTACTATGTTTGGGGCCAAAGTATATACTATTTGGGTGCATTGACCCTTGAGCCCTCAACCCTAAAGCCCTTGTAGAACCCTTCCAGTAACCCTATGGAACCCTTACAGAACCCCAACTGGGTACATGGACCCTTCGGTTTCACAATCCGGTACCCTTTCTGAAGGTTCCCATACCACGTCAGCCTCGTACCTTTTGCATGCATGGTCTGACTGGGATCCAACAACCTCACATACACCTAACTAGGACGATTAAGCCTAAATGATGCAAGGGTTGAGGGCTTAGGCCCAACTAGGACAATTCAACGTACATGATGTAGGGTTTAGGCTAAGCTGAAGGGCAGTCCATGAAGGATCTCCCAACTGTTTTGTTGATGGGAGCTTGCATGTCACGAGCACTTACCTACTATACATGGCCGCGATGCCGGGATCACAGCAGGTGATCATCGTGTCTGCTGCCCGGTGCTGGTGCTGATGCCTCGTTCTCCCCATCCTGCTCCTGCTGCCACTGCCATCGTCATCACATTTGCATCGTGCTGTTGCTAGGTCTATCCGTATGCTAACTGTGGATGTAACAACGAGACTGCATTGGGTTTTCTGCTCAATCCCAAAAGCTCCAAGTAATGGTATAGTAGATACTTTGGGGGGTCGAATATCTACTGCGTCTGTTCAGGGTCATTGCGTTTTTTGGGGGCATGTGGAGGGTTTGTTGATGGTTCTTATTTCATGTGGTAGTAGTAGTCGTCGTCTCTATGCAAGCTCACAGTACGAGCTGCTACTAAGTAGCTATATACTCTATTGATACTTGGACCCTTGAGGAGTGTCCCCTACACCCAAAACCCTTCTACCTGTGCCTATACCTATTGCAAAAGGTCGCTTTACCCCAAACCCTGAACCTTGAACCGTCGAGCCTGGACCCTGAACCCCAAACCCTGAACCCTAAAACCTTAATGCAGGGCAGAGGGCTTACATGGGAGGGGCAGAAAGAGCAGAAAGCAGGCGGTTGATGACATAAACGCCGGATTACCTTAATGACCCTACTTGGAGGCCCTTTTGACTTAGTAAGTCTACTTAGTATCCCCTAGAAACCCTATTATAATCCCCATAACCCACCTTACTAACTTAGTCAAAAGGGCCTCCAAGTAGACTATGGGAGTTCAGGTATGTTCTTTACTTTGTGTATATGCAAGGTGTATATCATCAACCGGAGGACGACAGCTCAAACAGCAATAAACCGCGCCCCCCTCCGGGGTTTAGGATTGAGGGTTTACGGTTTATAATTCAGGGTTTAGGGTTAAAATAGGAGGATGTAGGGTTTAGGGTTTATAACTTAGGGTTTAGGGCTATCATTTAGGGTTTAGGGCTAATATTTTACGGTTTAGGGTTTGTAATTTTGGGGTTTAGGGTTGTTGAGCACCCCCCCCCCCCCGCCCCGGCCGCCCTGAATGAAACAGCCTTGGCCAACGCAGGTCTACCTTTCAGACCGCAGGGGCAGCTCGCTGGCAAAAGCTGCTGAAATTTCTTGGGTAGTTACACGGGAAAGCTAGTATAATATCCCCACAACCATATTCGAATTATTAAGGCCCCTGTAGTTACAGACTTTCTTATTATTAAGGCCCCTGTAGTTACAGACTTTCTTATTATTAAGGCCCCGGTAGTTACAGACTTTCTTATGGATG